CAGTTGCTCTTCAGATTTAGTTGTCTTTTCACAGTTTGATGACATTTTTCAATTTTTCATAGTTTAATGACATTCCACCTTCATCAGTTTCTGTGGGTTGAACAAGCGACACGTTCCGCTTTAAAAAATACTATTTTTCTTCGAAACTTTACCATTTTTTTAGACAGGTAACTCTTCTTCCTCAGCAGAATTCTATTCTAGGTGCTCATCTTCACCCGTTTCAGTCGGTCTGCCTTCAAATTCACTTTATTGTCCACTAGATTTTTATACACCGAATTGCGGTTTTAGGGAAAATCATGATGGATGATTTACCCTGATTTCTTCTGATTACCTGTAAGATTGCCCAAGAGCTCCCTTACTTCAAACATCTTTATGATTTGAAGTAATGTTATCAGGGGAGCTCTTGGGCACTATTACTGGTAATCAGCGCGTGAGTTATACCTAGAGATTGACTGACTTCCTTAGGATTTCCCACGATTTCCTAAAGATTTCCCACGAGATCCTCAAGATTTTCCTTGATTCCCCCATGATTTTCTCACGATTTTCCCTGATTGCCATAGATTTCCTCTGGATTTGTCTTAATTTGTACACCATACTTCCCTCGCGGTTTACCCCTGAGGAGTGAACCGCAGTTCAGTTTTTGTACGCCGGATTGCGGTTTTAGGGCCAATCATGGAGGATTTCCATGATTTATCCTGATTTCTTTTGATTACCAGTAAGAATGCCCAAGAGCTCCCTTGATAACATCACCTCAAATCATGAAGATTTTTGAAAACTGCGCATGCGTTAGATCTAGAGATTTACTGATTTTCTTAAGATTTCCTATGATTATTTCCTTGAGATTTTTGTGCGAGATCCTTGAGATTTTCCTCGATTTCCTCATGATTTCCCCTGATTGCTTTAGATATCCCCAGATTTCCTCTTGATTACTCCTAATTTGTACACCATACTTTTCTCGCGGTTTAACCCTGAGGAGTGATCCGCAGGTCAGTTTTTGTACGCCAGATTGTGGTTTTAGGGCAAATCATGTATGATTTCCCATGATTTATCCTGATTTCTTCTGATTACCGGTAAGATTGCCCAAGAGCTCCGCTGATAAATTACCTCAAATCATAAAGATTTTTGGAAACTGCGCATGCGTTAGACCTAGAAATTAACTAATTTACTTATTAGGATTCTCACCGAGATCCTTAAGATTTTCTTTGATTTCTCTGATTGCCTTAGATTTCCTCGGATTTCTCCTAATTTGTACACCATACTTTTCTCGGGATTTAGTCCTGAGAAGTGAACCGCAGATCAATTTTTGTACGCCATATTGCGGATTTAGGACAAATCATGGATAATTTTCCATGATTTATCCTGATTTCATCTGATTACTAGTAAGATGCCAGTAAGAGTTCCCTGATAACATGACCTGAAATTATAAAGATTTTTGAAAACTGCGCATGTGCTAAACCTAGAGATTGATTGATTTCCTTAAGATTTCCCATGGGTTTCCTCAAGATTTTCCACGAGATCCATAAGATTTTCCTTGAATTCCTTATGATTTCCCCTGATTGCCTTAGATTTCCTCTTGATTTCTCTTAATTTGTATACCATACTTCCCTCGCGGTTTACCCCTGAGGAGTGAACCGCAGGTGCGTTTTTCGTTTTTGTACGCCAAATTGCGGTTTTAGGGCAAATCATGGATGATTTCCCATGATTTACCCTGATTTCTTCTGATTACCAGTAAGATTGCCCAAGAGCTCCTCTGATAACATTACCTCAAATAATAAAGATTTTTGAACACTGCGCGTGCGTTATATCTAGAGATTGACTGATTTCCTTAAGATTTCCCATGATTTCCTTGAGATCTCTCCAGAGATCTATAAGATTTCCCTTATATTTTGCATTATTTCTTCATCATTCTCGGATTTCCTCTTGATTTCTCCTAATTTGTATACCATATAAGTAGTAAGTACTTCCCTCGTGGTTTCTCCCTGAAGAGTGTAGCGCAGGTCAGATTTGTACGCCAGATTGCGGTTTTAGCGTAAATCATGAATGATTTCTCATAATTCACCCTGATTTCTTCTGATTACCAGTAAGATTGCCCCTGATAACATTACCTCAAATTTTAAAGATTTTTGAAAACTGCACATGCTTTAGATCTAGAGATTGACTGATTTACTTAAGATTTTCCATGATTTCCTTAAGATTTCCCCCGAGATCCTTAAGATTTCCGTTGATTTCCTTAGGATTTTTCCTGATTGTTGCCGTAGATTTCCTCGGATTTCCTCTTGATTTCTCCTAATCTGTACTACTTCCCTCGCGGTTTACCCCTGAGGAGTGAAACGCAGGTCAGTTTTTGTACGCCAGATTGCGGTTTTAGGATAAATCATGAATGATTTCCCATGATTTACTCTGATTTCTTCTGATTACCAGTAAGATTGCCTAAGAGTTCCTCTGATAACATTACCTCAAATTATGAATATTTTTGAAAACTGCGCATGCGTTAGATCTAGAGATTGACTGATTCACTTAAGATTTCTCATGATTTCATTAAGATTTCCCCCAAGATCATTAAGATTTCCGTTGATTTCCTTATGATTTCCTCTGATTGCCTTAGATTTCTTCTTGATTTCTCCTAATTTGTACACCCTCGCGGTTTACCCCTGAAGAGTGAACCGCAGGTCAGTTATTGTACATCAGATTATGGTTTTAGGGTAAATCATGGATTATAACCCATGATTCACCCTAATTTCTTTTGATTACCAGTAAGATTGCCCGAAAGCTCCCCTGATAACTTTACCTCAAATTTTAAAGATTTTTGAAAACTGCGCATGCGTTAGATCTATATATTGACCGATTCACTTAAGATTTCCCATGATTTCCTGAAGATTTCCCCCGAGATCCTTGATATTTCCGTTGATTTCCTTATAATTTTTTCTGATTGCCGTAGATTTCCTAGCATTTTCTCTTGATTTCTCATAATTTGTTCACCATACTTTCCTCGAGTTTTACTCCTGAGGAGTGATCGAACCGCAAATCAGTTTTTGAAAACTGCAAATATGTTAGATCTAGAGATTGACTGATTATTTACTTAAGATTTTCCATGATTTCCTTAAGATTTTCCCCGAGATCCTTAAGATTTCCGTTGATTACCTTAGGATTTTTCCTGATTGCCGTAGATGTCCTCGGATTTCCTCTTGATTTCTCCTAATTTGTACTACTTCTATCGCAGTTTACTCCTGAGGAGTGAAACGCAGGTCAGTTTTTGTACGCCAGATTGCGTTTTTAGGAAAAATCTTGAATGATTTCCCATGATTTCCTTAAGATTTTTCCCGAGATCCTTGAGATTTCCCTTGCTTTTTTCATGATTTCCGTATGTTTTACCCTGATTGCCTTAGATTTCCTCGGATTTCCTTTCAATTTGTACACCATATTTCCCTTGCGGTTTATCCCTGAGGAGTGAACCGCAGATCAGTTTTTGTAAACCAGATTGCGATTTTAAGGGAAATCATGTATGATTTCCCAAGATTTCTTCTGTTTACCAGTAAGATTTTCGAAGAGTTCCCCTGATAACAGAACCTCAAATTATGAAGATTTTTCGAAAACTGCGCATGCGTTAACTCTAGAGATTGACTAATTTCCTTAACATTTCCCATGATTCCCTTAAGATTTCCCCTGAATTTCCTTGAAATTTCCCTTGATTGCCTTATGATTTCCCCTGATTGCCTTAGATTTCCTCTCGATCTCCACGAATTTATACACCAGATTATTAGTTTTCAAGCAAGGAAACTTTTTCTTTTGATATTATGCTAGTCTGAATTGGAAGGACACCAATCAAAATATCATTCAAGAGTAAATGTAGCAGGATTAAGTGCAATCAAAATTCTTATATAGAAAGTCCAAGTTCATAAATTCCCATATTATAATTTGCAAAACGTTTTAATCATATTTAATTTGGAAGCACACCATTTCACCTTGAATGGTTAAACAGAAAAAAGACGATTTATTTGCAAACACTGTAGCTTCAGCAAGACGAGAAGAAAGCGTTGTTTTCTGCTACGGTTCGGAATTAGGGAAATCTTTTGCGTTTGACATGTTTGCTTGCAGGTTACCTAAGTAGCCTTTTAAAAAGGAAAAGTGACACGTATGGGACGTGTCATCTTCCGTTTTCTGCTTGTTTCGAAGAAAATGTATAATGTTTTTGTGTTTGATTTACATATGTAACTGGCTTCTATTGTTTGTAGGTGTGTTTGAAAAAAAAAATAGAAACGTGTGATGTTTGTGTAATGTCGTGAAGATTTATTATTTTAGTTATATACCAGTTTAACTTTTTGATGAATTTATGCAGCAAAAAACAATCAGGATCCAGACTGAAATAAGGATTATTTAATTTACCAGCTTCACAGCAAATCAATGCAAGTAGGTATGCGGGCTTGCTAGCTTCCTCATTATTTCTGATGATTTTCACTCTAAGAAACAATAATTATTAGTCTGGTTCTATGTAAAACTTTTTCTATCATTTAACCAGTCGAAACATCTTTTATCGGTATCAAGTTAATTACGGTTAACTTTTGAAGACTCTAAAAAAAAAAAGAACAATCTTCATCAATTATTATATGAATATCGATAGTTTCTATTCCTCAATTTCACTTTAAATAATTCGTCTTCAGTTTCTCAATAATTAAAAGAAAATTCCATCTGTCATGTTAATTAAAACCATCAATTTGAAACAATCTAATCAGCTAAAAGGTACTATCTAATCGAGTGGGCAAACACCTGAATCCGTGCCATATTGTCTTATTAACAAACAAATTAACAGAAAATTTCCATCGTCATCGAAACCGTAGACAATTAGTTATTCGGATGCGAAGAAGAGAAGCCACCGAAAGAGAAAGTCTTTTCTTTTTCATTGATGTTATGCGACTCGCGCTCCGTCACCAATTTTATTATTCTCCGAATTTAATTAAAAGTATGATGATTTCACTAAGTTTTCAAAACACTTTTAATTACAGATTGGTACCTCACTACTTCTACTTGCGTTGATAACCACACAAACACTGGTGTCCGCTCAAGACGACGAAGACATAGAAACCACCACTACAATTGACGAAGTTTCGACCGACGAACCATCCACAGAGGAAAATCGAATTTTGCTGGATTCGAAATTACGAACAGCATTGCTACAAGTAAAGATTAGTTTAATTTCGTAATTTTAAATATGCATTAATTGGTTTTTGATGCCACTTTTATAAGGACAAGTAAATATGTATTTTTTTTTTAGGCTTTAAGCGAGATTGAAAACGAAGAAGATGATGAACAAACCATCTCTCAAGCCCAAGCTAGTGCTATTACCATTATTAAAGATGCAGATGATAAAGAATCTATAGTAAAATCTGAGTAAGAAGAAATTTAAAAGTTTAAAAGCCTAAAAACAATATTAAATTTTCAGAGATACTTCAGAAGATATCCAAACTAATGATGCCACACCAACAACTACTATTCCATCAAGTTCAACACAAGCCACTCAAGTTCTTTTCCAAAAAAGCGAAGCTGTCCAATCAAAGTCGATAACTTCTTTGGAAAAAATTCCTTTGGATGCATTTAAAGATGCCGAACAAATTATTACAAGTGCTTCAAATAGTTTTCTAACTAGCAACAATGAAGATAATCGGCATAATGAACATATTGAAGTTAGAAGTGTTCCAAATAGAGAATCAGTACTTCAGAATGAACAAAATAGTTTCCAAGCCAACACCAAAACTTCTAATTTTCCTACATTGAATGACATTTCAAATAAGGAATCGAAAAAACCATCCAAATTTTTCGTAGAAAAATTTTCTTTTGGTAAAGCAGTTGATTCTCCAACTTTTGTAAGAACTTCTTACTCGACTTCTTACAAAACTTCTTCTTCATCAAAAGTCTCTAATAGTAAGGCTGAAAATGTCAAAACCAGCACTTCTGGAAACAATAATAATAATAATAATGAAGTGAAAGCAGAAACTGTCACTCAAAGTACTCCAGAAATTTCTACTGAAGAAAATGAAGCAAAAGTCGAACAAGTCCAGTTTTTCTCAGCACCCTTAGTAGCTGCCTTCACTGTCCATCAAGACGAAGCCGGTCAACCCAAGAAAGTTGAACCAATTTATAAAAATGGCCTTGAAACCAAAAAAGAGAAAGTTGCTACAGTACAACAACAAACTGTTTTTGCACCCCAGGTAAGAAATAAATATAGTACAGTGCAAATACGGTTTGAAATTGAACAAATTAACATCAAGATGAGGATAGTGGCAATTAGTAATAAATTGATCTTTAAATAACATACTGAAAATCCCCATATGTCCGGATATTGCAACATCAGAAAAAATAAGGTCAAAAGTCATGAAAATCGGTTTTTCGCAAAAATCTCGCTTCCAGTGCATCTGACGTCGAAGAACTCTAAACAAAACTTACGTAAAATAATATTCTCTACAAAATTGCTCATATACATTTTTTTCGCACCAATAACCGTTTTCGAGATATAGCGTGATAAAGCGGGAGTGAGCATTCAAAATAGGCAATACTGTATTATACTGCGGAGCTTTAGCTATAAATGCATTTTTCCTAATCTGTTAGTCTGGAAAATGAAATTTTCAATATTAAAATTGTTAGAAGTTTGTTTATTTATAATAATAATAATTTTTTTATCAAGGGAATTAAGGGTGTGTTTATACCCGAGGGCAAAGTTAGGACACCAATTGCCCGTGGATACTAGCACCTGATAATTCCCGTGGTAGGTACAGAGTGTTTGTTTATAACTGGAACACTCGATAACTTTTTTATTATTGAAAATAAAGGGCATGTTTAAATTGGAAAATTTCTTGGTAAATTGCAACAATCTTTGTCGCTACAACGATATTTTTTTGTCGCCATAGGTATACAGGGTGCGCCAAAAAAGTCATTTTTCTAAATGGATGTATATTTTTGCATTTTTAAAATTCTTAGAAGATTAGCTTCACGAAAATATCAAACACTATTTGGAAAACAAAAATACACAGTGCGGTTTATTTAAAAAAAAAAAAATTTTGGCGCACCCTGTATACCTATGACGACAAAAAATATCGTTGTAGCGCTTAAGGTTGCAATTTACCAAGAAATTTTGCAACTTAAACATACTTTTTATTTCCAATAATAAAGAAACTTACTGAGTGTTCTAGTTATAAACAAACACTCAGTACATAGATTATTTTATTTCCTACTTAATTTAATACTGTATATAATTTATTTTTATAAGGGAATGAACCGTAAATCAAAATTTCTAAATATTTTTTCTCAAAGTTTCACCTATCCAAGGTAAAAGTGGGAGTTATGGAATCCTTAACTCCCGCGCGGGAGTTATGAAATCCCAACTGCCCCCTGTAATAGTTATTTATGTATCAAGGGAATTATGCGGGTGTTAATACCCCAGGGCAACGTTTGTGTCCCGAGGGCCTCCGGCCCGAGGGACACCAATTGCCCGTGGGTATTAACTCCTGATAATTCCCGTGGTACATAGATAATTTTATATCCTACTGAATTTACTGTATTCTGTCTATTTTTATAAAGGAATAAGCCATAAATCAAAATTTCTATTTTTTGTCAAAGTGTTACCTATTCAAAGTAAAAGCGGGAGTTATAGAAATCCTTAACTCCCTTGGGAGTTATGATATCCTTAACTCCCTTCCTTAACTCCCTTGGGAGTTATGAAAATCCTTAATTCCCTTGGGAGTTAAGACCCTGTTTATGATTATCGTAACCAAGGTATTATATGGTTTTAATAGTTCAGTAGGATATAAAATAAATAATTAATAACATAACATGCATAACCAAAAATACATTCTTTTCGGCACCACTTTTGAAGAAGAATGCAAGGCGGGTGTGTGCCAATTTAGACAGGTAAACTATCAAATAACACTAGAGTGTTATAAACCATATCCCACTACTGGGGTTATGGTTTATAACTCACTCTCTTATTACGACAACGCAAAACATCAGGAAATTAAAATTAATAAATCCAGCTTCAAAGAAGGCTCATTCCCAAAAAATACCTGTTAGTTTTTTCAGTTCTTGTGCTTGCGCCTTGTTGGCAAACAGCAGCGCGCGGCAAGGGTTAGGTATATCGTTATCTGGGCGGCCAAAATTAAAAAAATATATAATATGAGAATAATGGGACAAAAATCATGATGATGATGATGACTCACTGACGTAGATAAATATATATTATGTGTTAAATATGTTCCATATAATGGTGTTATCATTTCCAATGTCTCCGGCCGATGGTTGCAAGGATTTCGAAATCTGTGAATTTTTTCTCATGTGACTTATTTTCAACATAACACAATAGTTATTTATGGTACTAGATAAATAACTATTCTTAAGATCGGAGAGGTGGATTAGGCCTATACTGGGGATACCATGTCTAAAAAAACCCGCCTTGCATTCTACTTCCAAAGTGGCGCGGAAAAGAATATATTTTTTGTTATGCATGTTATGTTATCAATTAGTTTCAGCTTCCCGACTAGCAGATTAGGAAAATAGTATATTGTGTATTTAGGTGGAAAAGTTACACATTCTCGGACGACAGTGTAAGTAAGGCAAACACCGAAGGCCGAGAATGTGCTTTTCCACCGAAATACACATACTATTTTTTCTGCGATCGGTTAAATACCTGTTAGATATTTGTTGAATGCTCCCTCCCGCTTTATCACCCTTTATTTCGAAAACGGTTAATCATATGAAACAAAAGTATATTAGCAATTTTGTAGAGAATACTATTTTACGTAAGTTTTGTTTAGGGTTCTCCGACGTCAGATGCACTAGAAGCGAGATTTTTGCAAAAAACCGATTTTCATGACTTTTGACCTAATTTTTTCTGATATTGCAACATCCGGACATATGGGGATTTTGAATACATATGTTGTTTAGAACCTCAAATACTAGCAAATTACGGTATAAAGATCTTGATGTTAATTTGTTCAATTTCAACATGGCAAAATGATTAAATGCACTGAACTAATAATGGAACCTTCTAGCAAAATATGTTTTTTTTTTTTTAAATTTTAGCCGACTCAGACTCTTCTACAATCATCCAGTTTCAACACTCTAAGCTTGCAACAAAAACAACAAATTCTTCAACAAGAATTGGAAAAGCTTCGTGGCCAGCAACAAAATCTTCAATCCAGAAATAATTTCGCCAATGTCAATTCGAATAATATCGGATTCACTCAAAACGGTTTTAGACAGGCCATCAATCAAAACTTTAACCATTTGGATCCTGTTTTCACCGAACCAGATCGTTCTGTAGTAACAAAACTAGCCACTATAGATCCTAGCAATATTTTATCGCAAAATTCTGATTTGTTTTTAAACAGATTTACTGCAAATGAAGCAATATTACCTTTACAAAACAATAATTTTAACCAAGCAGATAAGCCAAACAGGCAAAATGAAGTTACTTTGGTTCCTAGTATAACATTTGATCCTTTGAGTGAAGCAGGCAAGTTGCCTAAAAATGCTCAAATTTTGCCTAATAAAGAACCCACCGGATTCAATACAATTCCAAAAGTAGAACAACAGCAACAAAATTTTAACTTTGCAAATCAACAATTTATCCAACCTTTGCCCAATAAGGAATCAACTGGATTTAACAAACAAAATTTCGTTCAATCTAACATCAACAGTTTTGTAAGACCACAACAGAATAGTTTCGTACAAAATAACCAATTTGCCAATCAACCACAAAGGTTTTTGAGAAAAGAACAAGGTACTGGCAATTTTGGTTTGAACCAGCAAAATACTTTTTCGATAGTGCCATCTCAGCAACCCTATCAACCCAAAATCGAACTAAGCTATTTCCCTGATAATAGATTTTTGAGACAAAATGAAGCAGTCTTAGCTCAACCTCAACAAAACTTTGTGTCTCAAAACAGGTTTCAAGGATTCAATAATTTCCCTACTCAAAACACTAACAGAAATAGATTCTTTAGATCAAACCTTGAAGGTACTTTACAAAATGTTCAACAACCATTTAATAACATACCTCAAAACACCAGGTATTATAGATCGAACCAAGAAGCTACTTTGACCAGTCCTCAAAACTTTGGATTTATTCCTCAAGCTCAAAATGTAAGAATTTTGAGGTCGAATCAAGAAAATACTTATTTGAGCAATCAAAATAATGCCTACTATCAAACGCCGTTGTTGCAAAATTACAGATACAGTCAGTCTTTTGGAATTCCAACTCATTGAAAATCATACATTGAAAGAATTATACTTCAGGCCAGGGTAAATTTGAAAAGTTCGAATTTTTAGTATCTTTTATGAATGACATATTGCCATTAGATAATTATTTAAATTAGGGGTGTAAAGATTTTTGAAGATTGACTCAATAGTATTTGGTAATAATTTTTGTAGCTCAAAATTTCTGTTCATGCACATTAGTCATAGTATTTATATTTTTGTATGTATACGTACTTTTTGATATAAATATATAAATTTAGTTTTAAGATTATTTATGATAGTTTACACTTTTATGGTAAGACTTCATCGACTATAGGGACATTTAAAGGAAAGTAGAATTGTGACAATTATTTTAAAAAAAATCAAAAATGCATTGAGTAGATAGTAGTGCTAGGAATTCCCAAGCCAGTTTCTAATAAAATAAAATAATAATGTATTGTTTTATACTATATTTGGAACAATGATTTTTCTATTTGGTTTACTCCTACCCACTCTGCACCCTCTAATAATTATTATTGTGTTATAAATAAAGTGTTTCTAAAAACAAATTTGATTTATTTTGATCCATTGACTAAATACAGGGACGTAAATGTTTGAATGGGAAGGCTTATCAAATTTCACCTCACCAAAATTATACACCTTTTTAGAAAACTTGCAAGAGCGGATGGGGTAGGTCAGACCGGCCCTGGATTTCTCAAGCCTACCGGCCCTTTGAGCGGTAAAAAGCAGGAAAATTGTATGCCAAAGCCTAGTTCTCATGCAGCGGAAAATCGCGTGGTGAGCGCGGAATTTTAAAAATTGTCCCTCAGCGGGGAAATGTCAACTTATTGCGATATCGCAAAAAAGTTAAATTATTTTCCGCGAATTTTCATCCTCCGTCACTTTTTACTGTCACCTGTGAGATGTATGGTACGACATTTGATAAAAATCACTAAAATATAATGTGAAATACCCTAAATATACCTAAAAATCCGCTTGCGGAATTTCGCTTCATGTGAACCGGCAAAAGTTATGGAACGCGATATTCCGCACCCGCAACACGATTTTCCGCTCCATGAGAACTAGGCTTAAAGGAAGCTCGCCGAAAAACCGCGGATTTATTCGGGTGCCACTTCCAAAAAAAACTTTTTTTAGTAGCCACGCTCAAAAATAACTTTTTCAAATCCAAAAGTTCCTTTTTCCAAAAATATCTTTCTAGTGTTTCAAATTTCTGGACGCCAGAGGTGAAATTAGTGATAGGGGATAATAGTAGCTATTTATGTCATTAGGAGAAAAAGTGGGAGTAGTAACGGGGGCACGTGAGCCTGAGAAATTTTTCGATACCGTGGGAAAATCTCTAGATCGGCGGCGCCTTTGATCTGAAATTTCGTGGATTTGACCCGGGCCAACCCCAAACTTTTCGACGTCATGATGTTATCGGTGGCGCCATCTATCGTACACTACATAGTGTGAAGTTCGTTGTGTCCTTTTACAGGATGCCGTAGTTGTAAATAAGAAAAATTCGTGAATCAGCACGCTACCGACGTTTAATATGGGAACAAACAGAAGTATCATGTTTCACGGTTAACCGGTTGGCCCGGATCAAATCCACGTAATTTCAGGTCGAAGGCGCCGCCAATCTAGAGATTTTCCCACGGTATTGAAAAAAAAAAAAACAATCGAGCGAAGCCCAAATAGACCTTCTGGGCCGAATGGCATACATTTTATCTTCAAGCGACTGCAATATTACCTTTCACAACTATAATTTAAATAGATGGCGCCACGGCCCTGGTGTCCGGACTAGTCCGGAGCACTTCTTTTCTTATAAATAATAATAACAAAACTACTTAAAATACAAACACAAGCAAAATAAATGAAATTTGTGGATAAATCTAACCTCAACGTCAGAACAAAAATTAATAAAAAAAAGTCCAAATAAGCTGAAATCGTCCCAACTACTCCCGACCACAAAGTATGAACAGATTGGATCAACATTGGATAGTTCTCGAACATTTGAACCATCTAACATCCGAAACGGATGTAACCCGAATACCCGTTTCAAGTTCAAAAACAAATTAGCGGAAATTATGAATAAATTCTGCTTTTGAGAACTCGCTGTAGAACTTGGTACAGTGTCTCCATTACCACAGTGGCGACAATTGCTGTCTTATTTTTGATTGGTTCTAAAATCCCATATATTTATATTGAAAACACCGCCATCTTGTTCCCAACCTCTTGTTACTTTTAAATATGAATATATGGGATTTAGGTGAACTGAACATCCATCATAAATCATGGAAAACAACGTATTTGATGGACTTAATAATGGTCATCAAATACGTCGATTTCAATTTTTTATGATAGATGTTCATTTAAATAAGATTTAAATCCTATATATTAATATTTAAAAGTAACAAGAGCATGGGAACAAGATGGCGGCGGGATCTCTATTGTCGCCACTGTATGTAAAGGTTTATTTAGCCACTGTAGAACTTGGTTGTTCACACTGCCATCTATCGAGAAGAATACGAAAAAAATAATTACAAAAACATAATAGCGCTAATTAACGCTGCTGCTTCTAGCGAGAAAAAACCGAACAAATTACCCCAAACATAAAGATTTTGTGGTCCTAGGAATATAATGGATCACTTTTGTGTCGAGTGTTGACGACAATAAAGTTCAAATTATGTACAAGTTTAAGATAAAAGAATATAACTAAATGAGTCCCCGGCTGAGCAACAAAAGTAAACTGGACTGGTTTCCATTCTCGGAGATATAACAATAATTCAGAAGATATAATATTATTGGAGCTGACATTTCTGATGTAAGGTTTACAAGAACTTATAAAAAAGTTTTTTTATTAAGTCGGCAGAAGGCGGCCCAATTTCGGTGTCCGGCCCACCGGGCTTTCGCCCGGAGTCCCGGCGGTCCCATCCGCCCCTGAAAACTTGTGGTGTTTTTTGTATAATTGCTCTAAATATTTCAGTATGAGCTGCTCATCTGATGCCTCAGAAATCATCTTCTAGAAAATACTGTCTTATTCGGGCAAAGAGATAATCGCGTTTATTCTGGATTTTACAAGAATGGATTACAGATATATAAAGGACGGTATCAGTTAGAAGTTTTAATATTGACTGTGATACGATTTAGATAGTGAATATTGTAAACTTGTAAAGAATTAAGTTGTTTGAGTTAATTAGTGTAGTAATCAGTGTCGGAGTGAATAGTAACGTGGAATAAATTATTGTTGTGTTAATTGGACTTTGAATTTGGAATAAACGAACCCAAGATTTCTGTCAAGCACCCCAGAGCCATGACATTGGTGTCGGAAGTGAGATATAATTCGAGTACTGCATAGTGAAATCCGATTGCAGAGTAGTCTGGACATTAGTGTGGACATTTAGTCAGTGTAAGCAGTGACAATGAGAAGAAAAGACTTAACCGATTGTGTAAATTACCCCGGAAGTGACTGTATACCCAATTTTTACTGTGATAGTGAATTTTCAAGTAAGTTTAAAAAAATTCTATTTGGAAACCAATCGAATGAGTGACTTCACCGGCATGTTTGCTATATCAATCGATATCCAAAAAAGACATTTCAAGAAAATTCTAGAACATTCTATTCGAGAATAAAGCAAGTTATCCAATTTGTGACTTTACCGAAGTGTTTGAAACTTCAATCTGAAACCAGGAAAGATATTTGAAGAGATTTTGAGGGAAAATCCAAAACATTCTGTATATGATTACCATGAGACAACAAGCAAAAATTGAAGAACTTTTGCGCAAAAAGAAACTAAACGACAACAAGAAAAACAAGACGAAGAGGCCAGGACAGATAAATTATTGTTGTGTTAATTAGATTTTGATTTTAGAATAAACAAACCCAAGATTTCTATCACGTACATTTACCCAGTACATCTTTCAATTTTCCTATAAAAGTAGCCGAATTATTACCAATAACTTCATAAAAAATAGAGTTTCCTAACTGGAAAATGTAAAAAAAAATGAATATTGCAGCTAGAAAGGATACCACATCATTAATGTCTGCTCTAGATGGCCTAAACTATATCCGGAAAAGAAAAATCCTCATCAAAACTGAAGTTTTTGAGCTAAACAGTTATTCAATAATGACATAATATACTGGGGGGATACGAAAAATCAATTTATATGCCACAGCGTTAGTCATCAGCTGTAGAAGAGAGCAATGCACACAAGTTATCCCCTTTTATTGATCTAGATAGAAAGGGGAGAAAAATGGCGCTCGATTTCGCTGCTACGTACAAAATCCTCGTCCTGGGGGACTCTAATGTCGGTAAAACTTGTATTGTGCATAGATTTTGCGACGAGAGATATTACGAAACCTATATATCGACTATAGGTGAGTTTGAGTAGTTTTAAGTTGGAATATGTTGCCTAGGTCGCTATTTGTATTGAGTTGTTTGGAACTAGAAATAGATATTTAAGAAAAAGGAAAAATAGAACTAGAGTTTCATATACCTACATTCTAAGAAAATTATTAAAATCTGTATTTTTCATCCCTTGTTCAGACACAAAGAGTCCACTATGAAATTATTATTAATTAATTAGTTGCACAATTCTTGGAGTACAATCTACATTTTATATTTTCTAGGTATCGATTTCAAACAAAAAATTATAAACCTCGACGGAGTTCCGATAAAACTTCAAATATGGGATACGGCGGGCCAAGAACGTTTTAGAACTTTGACCACGGCTTATTACAGAGGTGCAATGGGGATTTTGCTACTTTACGATGTGACTAATTTAGAAAGTTTCAACCACATTACTTATTGGCTACAAAATATTGAAGAAGTATTATCTTCATTGTTAAACAGTTCATTAGTTTCTAGTTGTGATTTTTTTTCCAGAATGCTTCACCTCATTGTATGACAGTTTTAGCTGGAAATAAATGCGATTCCAAAGATAGAATAGTGGATACTGAGAATGGACAAAAGGTAGAAAATTTTAATTAAACAATTTCCTTGAATGAATTAAATTTATTTTAGATTGCTGAACATTTTGATTTGCCATTTTTTGAAGTATCCTGTAAAGACAACATAAATATAGAGAAATGTTTTATGTGTTTAGCCAGGAAAATTAGAGAGAAAAGAGAACAAAAGGTAATACGAGATTATCTTTGATTTAACAAAAATATCATCAAATATATTGAGGCTCTGTTAAAACTTTCAACTAGAGATTTGTAGATCTATTTGGCCTTAAGAAAACATTGATTATTTATGCAAATAAAAAATTTGTAATGATTGATTAATTTTAGGGCTATCCATTCCTGGATCCACCACCAAACGACGAAAAACCAGACCTGCTCAAACCCAAATCTGATCTTCGAGGGTGCTCTTCGTCGACTTGTTGAACTTTTCTTTATTTGTAAGGGTATTTTTTAGGAAGACTGCCACCTGTTTTTGCTCTTGTTTCGAAACTGTATTTCTGTTAGTAAAAAATTTACACTAAATTAATTATTGGCTCAAAAAAAAAAATTAACTAAATGTATTGCTACATTACTGTGATTTTTTGCAAAAGCAAAGCTGATTGTCGCTAGATTTGTACAGGGTGTAGACAAAAATTGGTGTCTATAATTTGCGTGCTAATTAAGATTTCATTCCTTTAAGGGAGAAGCCAGTTTTGTTCAAAACAGCACAAACGTTTTTTGTTCCATTTCAGTATCATTTTTAAGACTGATTATTATAAAATGTAGTTTGTCAGACACATTGTATATTTTTCAGTTGAAAAATAGCACACTTTAGGATTTAAATATAAAAGAACACTATCTATGCCAATTAGTTCATTTTGGAGAAGCTTTTGAAAATACCAACACATTAACAAAATATGTAGTACTGATCACCAAAAATCACCTCAAATCATACTGCCGCTAGTAACTTTTCTAATACAGATGTAAAAAGTGTTCTAACATTTTTAAAAACCTCTTAATAAATGAAATATTATTACAGGGAGTATTAAGCAAATTGGATTTTCAATTATGATCTATTTCAGGTCCCAATTAAATTTTAAAATATTGTTACTGTTTAGAATATTCCAAAAAATGTCAATTATTATTTCAGAAAAACATCGAATTTAATTATTAATTTTCTTCTTTCACTGCGTATACGAAAATTGCCTAAAAGAAAAATTGCTATTTAGCCAAGGGACCATTTGCGAAAAATAATAAATATTCAAATTGATTGCATTTAAATTGTGATAAGTTAAGAGTTTGCAAATTTTATGTATTATATGCCCATTTAAATAATTTTTAGAGTGTGAAATTGGTATTAATAAAAAATATGAAAAATACTAAACATTTACTTCTCCACTCTGTGTCTTTATTTGAAAAAAAAAAAATATATATATATTATTGTGAATTAATAAATAATACAATAATTAGCATATTTTTTATATTCAATATCCTCAATAAAAATCGGAACACTATTCACAGTTCATAGTCCGATTAAGGAAATGAATATAGGTAAAAAATAAAATAACTTTTTCTTGTTTAATCTAACATTATCACATTATACAATAATTTATTTATATTTTATAAATTAAATCTAGATATCGTTCAGCTAAATGACTTTTACAGTGTGTCAAAAAGCCAATTCTCAATACAATGAAAATTAGCATTAATAAATCTCAATAATGTCATTATCACTTGCATTAGCGAATATTTGCCAAGATATATTTTCACAGTTTTTTGACAAAATTCGAATTAATATATCTTTCTGGTGTACTCGCATAAAAAAATTATGAACATGCTACATTAAAAAATAAAACATACTTAGGACTAATTTCTACCAATATTTTTGCACTCAATTATGAACTGAATTCTTCAAAACTTGAATTTGACAGTGTAATTCTCAGCTACACTCAAGGAAAGCTTTGACACACTATAGTAACAAGGGCTAGAAAAGTTTGCGTTATGTAGTTAAAGAGTTAATAGAGTTTTGGAGGCATTAACAAATCAAATTATCAATTTTCCATAATTCAAAAAGATACAAATCAGTTGAATATTCTTGAATCGCTCAGAGATTTTACCAAATAGAGCCAAATTTTTATTTTTCAGAAATAATTATTGTTAAACCTCCGTAACTAGAATAGCTCCAAGCAGATAAATAAAAGCGTCCTAAAAGAGTTTTGTGTGTGTATACCTTTTAATTTAGCAATTAAATTATATCCATCTATTGAAATCATATGTTTAGAAAAAGTTGTCTTTACAAAATATTTAATTGGTTGCCTAAGCTACAACGCATTACCCCCCTTCTACGACTACTGGAAATTCCAATTATTACTGGAGCCCGATTGATCCATTTCATTATTATCTCGACTACTGGAAGGGGAAGCACCAAATAGAGACCGGAGCACATTTTGTACGTTGACTGCTACATTTAAAGAAAACATTTTAATAATTGAAATACTGAACTCTGATATAACGAACTTTCGGAGATAACTAAAAAAATATTCACTCACTCCATAGGTTTTTTTTTCACCATTAAAAACCTAGAAATATCAAGCTTTGGTTGTTAGAAAAGCCTATACAAGTTAGCTGGCCCGCAACTTTTCCTGATTCAATACACAGTACAAAGCATCCATTGGATTCTAATTGTCATTCTGTGGAACACTGGAAAAGTAGTCAGCAAAAGCCTACATTGGTTTAACTCGGTTTATTATCATCATATCACCAGTGTATTTGGTTTTACCCACATTTGAATATGAGTGCAAAATATTTCACCATCCTCTTGGCTCTAGCAGTTTATTTTGTTCTTGAAAAGACCAGTTATTCTCAGCACTTCTGTTGCTTCTATGTATGTATAGTCCATAGTTATCTTTCTAGTTATATCACATTCTAGAATGATTCAGTCAATTTTTTACAGGCATTGCAGAGAGCCCTCCAAAAGTTCCTTTCAAAGATTGGCTTTTTATGGGTGCACACTGGTTGTTTCTGTGTCAGGTGGGAAAATTGACCAGCTTAATGAGGAAAAATGTACAAAATATTCCCTATACTTAGATGAGATCATAATAAGAAAGTTCATAACACCAAACAAATACCTGCAAGGGTTATGATTAAATAATTGTTAATTAATAACCCTATATCAAAAATACAAAATATCAGAGTTCATTATGTATGTGGTCAAAAATAAACCAAACAAAATCTTACCTTGCCCAGCAGCATTTTCTGCACCTGTATGATCAGCACCAACACTCTGACCTCCTCCCCCTTCACCATCACCAGTTAAATTTTGTCTACAAATAGGACAGGTACCGTGAAGTTCAAGCCAGGGTCGTATACACGCCTCGTGGTATATGTGAAGGCAAGGAAGTTGCCTCACTTTTTCCTGCAACGCAAACTGTTCCCAGCACACTGAACATTGCATATTTTGGGCGACCTGCTCTTGAGTTACTTCTACCACTTGTAAACCGTCAATGACTGCTTTAGATACTGGCGGGGGTCCTGTGCTGTCCATTTGATTCAATAACTGAGTGACTATTGCGTCTAAGCCTTCCCTACCCCAAGCATAATCACCTGGGTTTCCCAAAAATAACTGGACATTTCCTGGACCTCCGAGGTTTACCCCTACTCCCAAATTTATTATAAAATCTTGGACTAGATGCTCTATGGGTAGTTGTTGTCTTAAATTGGAGGAGGCTAAACGAGTCAACGTTCTGGAAATTTAAAAACAAAATTAGTTCACATCATGGTTAGGTGTAATAAAAATACTGAAATATTATTAAACTCGAAATAACCTTGGAATTCCGCTATACCTTCCTTCCAGGGGCACTTCCATTGGTTGCACATCCTAAAATTAATTCAATTACCAACCTGATTTTTGTTTTAAATTATAATACTAACCATCTCTCCATGATCCAGCCACGAGAATCCATCTGGTAAATTGACTCTAGTTGGGGTTTCTTCCCTGTTCTCTTGAAGTTCTTCAATAAATCCATCAGAGCAATGGGGGCATGTGAAATTCTTGAAAAAATTGTTTATTTTAAAAAAAGACTGAATTTACAACTAACTGTTATTTTCCTATCGAAGTCTTTGTCCTATTTTGCCAAACTACTATTTTGTAATCGTGCTGACAAGTAAAAAATTTGTTTCTACATAATACAAGAGAGAATTGAGAAGGTCCTGTGTATAAAACTGAACTGAAATATTGATAATCGGCTCAAGGTTCTATTTCTTCTTCAATTTTTTCCAAGAAAGATACTTATTATTTCTAAGGTCAAGTACCTACAGACGCACAAAGTGATTTTCAAATAATTGAAACAATCTAATCTACATACCTACATAAGTCCACCTAGGTATATTATACTTTGTGCATATTCAATATTGGATTAAAAATTAATATTTATAAGACATTGGCTTTTGTTGAATAGGTAATATCCTCGATAAAATGTAATAGCAATTGCAAACGATGTAAAAATTGCTAAAGTAATATGATAATTTTTCAAAGCATCTTCAAAAGAGAAGTGGGAGCTCAGTCTTGAAACTAACTTTTGTCATAAAGGCAAAAAGCTAATATGGTAATATTCTTTGCATTTTATGCTAATTCATAGGGACCCAATTCAATTCTATAGTAACTTTATTAATAGTGTGTGAAGATAGTACCTATTTGACCTAATATTTGACCCAGGTTAGAACTGTGAAGACCACAAAATGTAGTTTTGTATTAATGTTACAGAAAACTTCTATTTTATTATTAGCTTGTAATACATTCTATATGTAGGTATTGAAATGTTCACAAACCAACTTTGAAAGAATTAGGACATTGCATAACTTTGTCCAATTTAACAGACCTGATATTTCTTCCAAGATCCCTATAGTAGCCCTTGAAAAATAAACCTCAACAAAATACCTATTTTTTAGGTACTGAATGAATTGTACTTGTAGCTTTGGTTGTAGCCCTTGATACTTAAATTACGAAACATAAAAATGATTCTTTGAAAGTATGGGTGGAAACAAAAGAGTCACAAGTGCCTAGAAAATTAGGATAGAAAAGGTCATCCATGCCCATGTAGCTATGAAGTGCATTATTGCGTAGGACATAAATTTCCATGAATTAACTTACAGAATGATTGGTTTGGCTTAGGTACCATAATGAAACAGTAAATCTATCTGAATTGTTTTATTGATAAGCTTAATTATACCTCAGGCTCCTGGGAAGGGACTAACATTAAAAAATTGATTTTTTTTTACCCCAACCATCTATACTTACATTAGCAGCATTCTGGAACTCCACGTTACACATGTGACAATAGAATCTTGCGGAGGGCCGCTCTTCGACCGCTGCCTCTGCCATCGCGACTTTTCCCTTGCAGCCTTTCCTGGATGGAAATATGGAAAAGAAACACTAAAAAAACTTGAAATTTTTCAGTGCGAATTCTTGTGTTGTGGGGAGTCTGACTCTGACGTTACGAGTGTCAGATCAAGAATCGCCATTTTGACTGCGCTCCAAATCATCGGAAAACATTTGGAGCGAGACAGTCACGTGAATTGGAGTTGGAGTAGTCAGACAATTTTTCCCTAGGTGTTCTAGAGTAAATAGAGCACAGATCCGGCACTTTGGGAGCAAAAACAAGGCCGAGATTCTAAATTCACGATTCGACACATGACTCGACAACGAGAGGCAACTCGATACCGGTCATGTCGTCTCGAAAAATCGGATCAGCGCTTTCCTGCTCTAAGTACCGATCGGTATAAAGCGGTCCGTCTATGGTGACAGTCTGGCTCCTGAAAATGCGGTTTATGTGTGGAACGCTTCGGTTCAGCTTTGGTTTGGTTTGGAGGCTTGATGATAGAATAATATCCTCTTAAAAATATATTTGTAGTAAGAAATCTTTGATTGGTAGATTCCATTGAGATTCGGTGACAATTGGAACCGAAATTTTCCAGGAACCGCGTTTCATATTTCATAACCAAATTTCAGGAGTGGTTAGGTTACGGAACGGGAACCAGAATAACCAAGAATCGGTTAACTTACGGAACGTCGCCTTATTAATTTCTTGTTATATCTCGGGATATCTCTGCTCGGGATCGAACTTTTCCAAAATATAGTTTTGATTCTCCTTCATTTTTGATAAATAAAAAAACAAACCGCACAAACAAATATATAACTATTTTTTGTCAACTAGACAGGCGGCGTTTCACGCCATGAGGAACGGTACAAATGGTGCATGGCGCTCCTGAGTTTCTCTAAAACGCGTTAATGTGCATACTGAGCCGCTTTCGGGTGCAGAGTGCCACTAGTTGTATTCCTTCCACATCTATGAGGAGCTCCAGAACAGCTCCGGGGATTCACGCGCTTATTCCTTTCGAAAAGTGTTTGTGGCACAACGCATCTGTTCCCTGCAAATCGGGGGCGACTAAACACCGGAAGCGAGTAGCTCGAGTGTTTCAAACTCTTGAAAGGAATACAACTATAGATAATAGAGTGCGAAGCGAAGCACCTAGAACACTTCACACCCGTTCGTTATATGGACAGCTTTCTGCAGGAAGGGACGTAGGCAAAAATATGAATATGCAATATAAATAATAATAAAATTTAAAATATATTGCTGTTCCTAAAATGTTTAGGTTTTTGTGGGTTGGCTCCTTTCTGCAAAATTAAATTAGTCAAATTTTTACTACAAATACTTTATTGAGGTAGGTATAAAATCAACAAAATACTGCAAAATACAATATATTTATCCAGTAACGGTTCCACTTCAAAATCAGGAGCACCACTGAACCCATCAAGATCGTATATCATAGCCGTACCTGTGTTATTTTCATAAAACTGCTTACACCCATTCGGAATCAAGCGTGTCAAATTTTGCAGAAAGAAACCAACCCTCTAGTTTGATAGAAAAGGAAAGGAGTGTTTGCGATAACAAAAGGATTCTCTTAGATCTGCTATTAGGATCCATATTCATCAATAATATTCGATTCAAGAACAAAAACAGTAACGGTCGTTTTTATACTACGTCCCATTCACGCGTTCTATTCCAGATTTTTTGGTTTTGCAGTAAAGAACCAAGCCGCTTGGATCCCTTCTGCAGGTAGTTTACCTTGGCAAAGTTACTTAGTGGGTTGGTTCGCATGTTGACAGATGGCGCTATGATTTACGAATCGGTTTGGATTTTTTTTGCAGAAAAGGTTATGGCCTTTGACACGATATTATAGTATTATAATAGAAATCCTGTTTTGTGGGTTGGTTCCTTTCTGCAAAAAAGCTGTCCATATACAGGGTGTTCCGAAATTAATGCACCAAATTGTTATGGCATATTCTACGTCGAAAATATGCCCCAGTTACCTAAATAAACATATGTCCGGAAACGCTTCCTTTCCGAGATACAGGGTGTTGAAATTCTAAGAAAAAAACTATTTTTCTATCATAATTTCCAAACCACTCTAGATATTTCATTGGAATTTTGTCTGCTGCTTTCAAGCAGCAAAAGACATTTTTTTGATGTGAAATTATTTTTTAAAAAAATTACCAGTGGCGTCCTACCAGATTTGTAAGGAATATTTTTTAAGAAAAAATGGTGCGTCACTGCTTTTTCAAATCCCCATTCAATTTAGAACAAATTTGATCTCTTCACTTTTTTCCGAAAGATGCACTGTTTCAAAGTAAAAAAATAAAAAACCATTTTGATGCATGGCGAAATTGCCAAAATTATGATAAAAATGTTTAACATTAAAGACCTAAAGTTTTAAATTAGTTTTGTGACGTCACTGGTAATTTTTTTATTAAATATTCCACATCAGAAAATGTCTTTGGTTGCTTGAAACCAGTGTACAAAATTTCAAAGTGGTATGAATTATGATAAAAAAATAGTTTTTTTTTAGAATTTCAACACCCTGTATCTCGGAAAGGAAGCGTTTCCGTATGTTTATATAGGTAACTAGGGCTTATTTTCGACGTAGAATATGCCATAAAAATTTGGTGCATTAATTTCGGAACACCCTGTATAGTCTATGCGTTTTGCGAACGCGTCAAACTATAGTCGGAGTAGCTCGGGAGCGCTCAAAGGGTTGCACCCACTGGTTGCACCCGAAAGCGGCTCTGGAAAGCAGCTATTGCGTTCGGTATTTTGATCTGAGTTCTCCGAGCTTGAATTAACCGTTCGTTTATTCAAAAAGTGTACTCGGTGCAGGCTGATTCGAGTTTGTTTAATAAAATTTCGGGAATTCTGATACAGCGTTCAACTGCTCCGTTCGCTTGCTGGTCACGTGATTACGGCTCCGCTCAGCACGCTCTGCTCTTTGAGCAAAATTTCGAACGCAATAGTTCTTTTCACGTGGCTCTGGTTTAACTAAACCGGGTTACAAAACGGTTTTTGAAATGACATACCGTTTTCTAACCCAGTTACAATAATGGCCGTTTTCGATTCGCAACCGTTCGGTCTTGGTTGGTTCGGATATGACTGAAGTTGGTTGACAGTTTTTGAATTTGGTTTGTCAAAAAAGGCGCCATATTTTAAGGTTATAAAAGCAAACCGAAATTCAAACCAATTCGCGAAGCTGGTTCGAATTTAGACGGACCAAGCGATGCCTGTCACGTCACCGGTTTGCAATCGAAAACGGTTGGTTCTAATTTGGTTGGCCTTGAAGACGAACCAAAGCGAATCGAAAACAGCCAATAGGCTCCTTGCATCAAATTTTTTTATTGCTGATTTCGATAGTCCATGAAAAATAAGTCAACACGTGTTTTTTCTTTTTCTTGTTAGTCAAAAATTGACGGAGATACAACGCTTTGAAATATCCTTCCGACGTCATAACTTAGGTATAATACGTTGTGAGTTGTGACGTCGCACATGCTCAGTATATCTATATATACAAAAACTCAATATTTGTTTAACTTCCGAAATAATTATATTTGGACAAAATAAAAAAACACGCATCGATTTTTTTTCGATTGCCTACAGTCTGCAATACAAAATAATCAATTTAATTTTTCATGCAAGTACCCTATTGTTACAAAGTGACGTGATGGATACCAACCACTCGAATTTGAGCGGTATGTTACGGTTTGTTAAACCGGAGCCACGTGAAAAGGGTTAAGGTTAGACGACTTGAAGAGTGATTTGAAAATCACGTCACGGGCAAATTTCGTTACTCGAGTTAAATCTTACCTTGCCTAGAAAGAGATATAACGTGAAGAGACGGAGAAAGATAGCTATAACTCAAACTAAGGATTATAGGCGCAAAGAGAATTGCCTATTATTGACAAGCGCTGATACTACTGATACTATTATGACGTCACTACAGATGCTCGTCTCCTTCTTGTTAAACTATTATCATTCTGTTTTGTGATTTTTGTTATTTATACATTTGTGTGCTGTGATTTTTTTCGATTATATCTCTCAACCGTCATTATGTAAGTATATTAATAGTACATTATATACCTAGCTAGAGAAGTTGGTCATCATATACCGAAGCGCCGAGGTTTATAATGCGTAAGGTATATAATGACTTTCTTTACCAAGGAATATATAGAATTTTTTTTTACTACTGCTAGTAGACAATAAAAAATACAGATCGTTTGACCGAGGTTTGACCAGGGTTCATACTTGACCCTGACTTGAAACTTGAAAAAAAAGGGTTGTAGATTAATTCATATGACACATTCAATTTTTTTGACAAATTAAAATGAATGACTTCTGACTTCTGGTTTAAGAACCGACGAACGTACCGTTCCTGACATCATTTGAAGGGTTGATCATTGATTTGTTTCAGTCAATTTCTATTTGTTAAAAAAGGAAGGCAAATTATGTCAAAAGTATGAATCCTGGTGAAATAAAGTTTTTTTTTCCTACGAGCGTGCGCAAAGTAGTAGTACTTTTCCGCACGCATTTCCGGGCTCAAAGTTACACTTTTCCGCACTCAGTGCGGATACAGGCCTTATCCGCACTGAGTGCCGAAAAGTAATTATAATTGTCAAGCAACAATAAGTGCACCTGTCGACTTTGACACATGATGACAAATTTTTCCTCTGTTTCTATATCAGCCAACATCTATACAAACACCAAATATAAATTAACTTTGATACATTGTCAGATTTGTTCTCTATTTATATGCAATAATCTACAAACTTTCTCATCAAATTTAAACGCTTTAAGATGAACAGCTCTGATGAGGATTTTCTGTTATTTTTTTTTGTTATGTAATTTTTTGATAAATGCATGATCCCTTCAAGTTAATTAAAAATAATTAAACAAATTATCGTTTTTTTTTTTAATTTTTGTTATTACCTACCTGATATGAAGCTCGTAGGAAAAATTTTTCCTAACACGAGCGCAAAGTGTCTTTTCCGCACGCAAACACAGTTATACGTGTACCACTTTGCGCACTTGTTACGAAAATAACTATTTCCTACTACCGTGCGTAAATTACTCACTTTACGCACTATTCAGAAGACGTAAAATTTCACTTCACGCACTATAGTGCGTAAAGTAATTCACTTCACACACTAGTGCATTAAAGTAATGTCAATGGCAGATGTTGACACTGTCATGCAATTTAGTATTTTTCTGGTAAATTACTTCACGCACTAGTGCGTTAAGTGAAAATACTGCACGCACTAGTTCGTATAGTATTTGTCTTAATTTATTCTTTTACAAATATTTGATTGGTAGTAGAAAAAAAGTTGCATGCAATACGTGCGTAAAGCACCTTTTTTCACTCATGTGATTGTCGCACTCGTCTTCAGCTCGTGCGTCAAAATTCACATTCATGAAAAAAGGTTCACTTTACACACTTGTTGCATAAATAACTATTGTTTTTTCAGAGTTCAATTTATACAAGTATTATTTTTTAATTCTTATGTTTTTTTGCTTGTTTATAACATTTTTTTATAACATGTGCATTGTTCATGTATTTAACAAAAATCCGTTCATGCTGTAAACAACGCAGATAGAGAGTAAATTGAAACCTAAGAAATTATGTGCTGTCTTTTATGCTAGGATTTTAATTTTTGGTATTCAGAGCATACTTTAAAGGCCTTGTTGAATCTACTAATACTTTCCTATCCTGATGAGCGAATATCCTGGCAAACAAATTGAAAAATCAATCTAGATATTTGCTCAAAATAACAACTGTAGCTGAGTAGCCTCCCGTATGGGACCTCAGTGCCTGCTGGTGAAACTGGCCATAAAATATATTGTTTTATAATCTCCATAGCTTTGTTAAATTTTATTGCTGATTTAGGAAATGTATTTGAAGACAGATCACAATGGCGATAAATAAGAAATAATATCAATAAATAAAATAAAAAAACATTATAGTTTAATTGTTTTATTTAACATAAATTACAAAAACAGGAAACAAATAATAAATATCTACATGAATATGATTGTTCGATTTTAATAGGCAAAATGCTAAAAATCTATTACAAAATATTTTACAAAATTTACAAAACAAATATTTACATCTATACACTGTACTATATACAAGACTAACTGAAAAATGTATCTACTATAATTATTTATATGTGCTACACTGGACATTACCTATACATATTTATTTAACGGTTGTCATTTTTCAAAGAGATATTTGAAAATCCTAAAAATCTATCAGGGATTCCATGCCATATGTCAACAGCTAATGTTTGTTGATAATATAGAACACTATTTGGTAGTCACAGTTTGGCCTTTTATGTAAAATAGGCTTCTATATAAGTATTGTATTAATTATTATTGAACTAAAAACAGACATACACTTATACAATGCATGATTTGCTAGAATATGGATATCGTATTGCTATCGTTTATATGGTCTATAATATAGTTTCAGTCAGTTTAAAGTTACATACATATTTGCTGATAATTGTTTTAAAGAACCTAAACATATTTTGTGTACAGAAAGTCATAGGTATTAATCTACACACCAAGTAAGACATGATGTAGGTACTTTTTCACAATAATTACAAATGTTTTTCAAAAAAGTTATTTCTTTGTCACCCTGTATATATTGTTTTGGGGTCAAATAATTCTTCTATGGCACTTGAAAAATTTTGTCAGTTAGTTACAAATTCTAATTATTGCATGGACGATTTGTCATAATCTGATTTCCCTGCATTTTTTTAGAAAATAATATTCGATTAATTATTGACTTATAGTATTGTGCCAAGAAAAACTATTAGGCATAAGTATCTGCTAGGACACAGTACATTAATTTCATTTTTATATTTTTTCAAAGTTGAACAGTTTATCTTGGCTTACTATATTTTAAAATACAGTCCTCACACAATATATACAGGGTCAGTCCTATTTGGGTTGTCGCTTTGCGTAGCAGCTCGCGTAAGGAGCCACTTGGCTGGTGTTGATGGCTTCAGCGTATAAGCAGGACGATTCGCTGCAAGAACACGTAGTATCGTGACTGCTCGAACAGGAATGTCTAATGAATCGAACAATATAAATCTTACAATATATACAACTAAATATTGAATATTATACAAAATATTGATATCTTACCTATCAGTTTCACAGTCTCCATCCTCTCCTTTATCGTCCCAATTATTGGCTACGTGCTGGTTGAACCAGACTTTGATATCACAGTTATTTGAATGGGCAGGTCCGGCTGAACCGTGACCTCCCTTAGAATGTTGACCATTATTGGAATGATGGCCATTTGAGTGGTGTCCGTTGCTACTACCACTGGCCACTGAACAGCTGTGACAGGAACGGGTTCTTGGAAAAGGCATTACCTAAAACAATTCAATGGTTAATTACAGGACGGTATTTTACTTATCAGGCTAAAACTATACATAGGCCAAATTTCCATGTCAATACATTGTTACCCTCAACCCCTTGTTATTTTTGGGAATCCCATGATGTGTTATTCATCGTCGGAAATGCCTCCTTCCATAAATTGTCAAAAAAAATATTGTTCGGACCCTAACAGATTCAACTTACCTTATTGCATTGATTTGGCACGTGCACAGCATAACAAGCATACCCTCCAGTACTACTGCACGTACTACTTCCACCACTTCTGGAAGCAGCAGGACAAGGTCCATCTCTCGGACAATCCGGCGGTGGATGATCTGGAGGTGGAGGAATAATTTCTGACCAACTAGGAGGCGGCAGCAACATAGTTGTAGCATACGGAGTAGGACTGTCTAGGTTCTTTTTGCAATTGTAGAACGTGGAAAGGTTTTTGGTGTCCACTTCTGCGTAGTCGGTGGGCTGAGCTAGAGGAATTGACGAGTCTTTGTCACAGTCAGTAGCTTTCCAACTGAAAACGTCACCGATGAAATTTTCAATTGATTAACAATCTAGTTTGCTTACCCTCTATCAATCCACAAACTTTCTTTGGCACTCAAATGTGAAGCATTTACTACAGGAACATCTAAATGACCCAGCTCTTTGGTGATGGATCTTTTTCCTCTTAAATATAACAGCCCACCAGCTCCTACTAGTAGCAATAAAACTATCACAGCAAGTAGTACAACAAACCAAGTTTGGCGGACTAGTGGAACTAGAGGTCCTAACGTTCTAGGACTTTGAGCACGAGAAGTTAGTAGAGGCATTGGAGTTGAATATGGACCTGCAAATAAATCGTTATTGATTTATGTTTTAGCAAAAAAATCATGTACCTTGTCCAGCACTAGTTGTGGCGGCTACTCGTGCAGTATAAGCAGTTCCAGAAGTTAAGTTGCTGATAAGAATTGAGGTAGTCGTAGCGTTCATGGAAATCGTTTGAGTAAATTCACCTTTAATTTGGATTTTGTAGCCGGTAATTACTCCGTTACAGTGTTGAGGTGGCGGAGGCGACCAACGTACCCAACCAGCGGTATTGTTGAGGATACCTTGAGGAGTTAACGCATTTAGATTGAAAATACAAGATTTTTATCCAAATTCTTACCAGCTAGTATAGTATCTGGAGGTGCTGAAGGAATATCTTCCATTGTCTGAGCTATTCGAGAATTCGACGGTTGTCCTTCAACAGATTTATAGAAGGGCGAAATAAAAAACTCATATTTGGTGAACTTTTTAAGATTTGTAACAGTGTAAAACGTAGTTTCGATGTTCAAGACTGTTAAAATGTTGTAGTTGTGCGAACCGCCAGAGAGTTCTCGGAATCTACCACAAAGTTAATATTAGATTCAATAAAACATAAAACAAAATTCTACCTAATATAAAATCCTTCAACATAATCCACTGAAGTCAATAACCAATATAATCGAACCGAACTAGAGCTTTGAGATCTGGCATCTTGCAGTTCAATAAGCTTAGTACTTAAAGCTGCCCTGGCTGTATCCAGCTCGGAATTTGGCAACGTACGCGAGTTGGCTAAAGTACGAGCTGTTGCTGACACTTTACTTGCTGGCGAGAGACCGTGAGCATTTTCAGCACGAACTAAAATTTAATTTCCAATAATTAATCAATCATATTATTATAATTATAAATCTTACCAATAAAAACATAAGAGCTATCTGGTTTGAGCTCTTTAACAATCATAAAAGGGGTTTGTACTCTATGAGCAGCTATCACCCAGCCAGTTTGCAAATCTGGGCTCCAATATTCAACTGTGTAGCCTACCAGAGTGGAATCACTTTCGCCCCCTTCCCAGGAGAGGCTGATACTGGATTCTGTGGCGTTAAGTACTGTTGGTGCTGAAGGAGCCTATAGATTTTGTGTGGTTTAATAATGATGGATTACGATTTTTTATAAAAAATTTACCGCTGGAAAGGTAGAAGGTTCCGGACTTCGATGTAATGGAATAGCGCTCCCTTCAACGACATTTAGTGAAGCTGACCAGGCACTTTCTCCACTTTCTGAGACCGCTGAGCAAGTGTACAGTGCTGAATCATCTAGCTTTAAATCTACAAAAAAAAAAGGTCATTTAATTGATGATAATTAATTGAAAAGTCGGGCATTTCATTATTTTTTCGGCCAACGCTTTTATCAATTCCCCAGTTCCCTGATCAAAAGAGCATTTTATTAAATCGATGAAATTATTATCGAAAAAGTCCATTATTTGTTCATCCGCTTTACCAATTTTTGTCATATTTATGACTATAATTTCGAGTTTAATCAGGCAAATTCGTACAAAATCCATTACCCAGGGGGAATTTTGGTATAAAAGCCAGCGGAAAACTTTGCCATTCATATTTCACAATCTAGGCGTCGGTTTGTGGACAAATAATCAAGTAATTAGCTCGATAGGACGTGAGTCATTTGAAATTGCTTCCGTAAAACAAACTATTATGGCCAGTTTCTGATGACAGCGATTTGTAATGCAAATTTAATCGAATTTAGGCTCTAAAATTACATATATTATACGTTACCATCAATAAATAAGGTTCCATTCTGTTTCAAAGTATAACGTTTCGGTAAATTGTCCTGTGAAAGCTGTTTTCCGTCTCTTAGCCATCGGATTACTGGCGGATCACCCTCTGGATTAGATGCTTTGCAATGTAACATCACGTCACTTTGTAGCGGCAAAGTTTGGTTTGCTGGTCCAATTTGAATTATGGGTGGCGGTAGGTCAGCTACTGAGGTTACCTATAAACAATAATTTTGGTGATATTAGAACTTTGACGAGAAGAATAAAATGTGCAAAGACTTGAAGGTGCTGAAGTTAACATTTCAAAAAGTTCGACAGCAAATTCTTCTTGGACTATTTGATAAAAATGTCCAAATTTTGATTATTATCGCCTGTTGATTCGTTTATGAAGAGTCAATAATAGTACCGATATTGATTATTATCGTCTCTCTATCTGTTCAAAATTTAGACTATTATTGCTGGTTCTTGATTATTTTTTTGAGGAAATCAAGAGCTGGATGAATGTCCAAATTTTTAATATAATCGGCTTTTGATCTGGCTGGATATCGTTTCTGAAAAGCTGATAATAGTCCAAATATTGATTATTATACTGGCATTAAAAAATCGATAAACGGCCGAATTTGGATTATTATCGGCACACAAGGGGCAAACCACCTGGGAATTCTTTGCCAAAAATATGGGGAATTTAAAGGAATTTGTAGGAAATTTAGAGGAATTTGTGAGGAATTTGAAGGAACTCATCCGAATTTATGAGAATTTGGAGAATTTATAGGGAATTTGAAGGAATTTATGGGGTATTTGGGATTATTTGTGAGGAATTTATGAGGAATTTAAAGGAAATTGTCAAATTTAAAAAATTTAAAAGAATAATGAATACAGTTTTTGTAGGCTGATTTCCAAGATTTTTCATGTTGTTATTTTTCACTGGAAAAAATTGAAACTGGGAAAATGAGCTTCTCACCTTCGTCTTTACATGCAAAAAGTTTCAACATTTTCCCTTCTCTAGTTTTCCAGGAAAACTTTAAAATGTGAATGACAACAACTTATTCAGTTTTTGTAGGTTGATTTCCAAGATTTTTCATATAGCTGTTTTCTATTGGAAAAATTCTCACCATCCTCTTTACATGCAAAAAGTTTCAAAATTTTCCCTTTACTGGTTTTCCAGGAAAACTTTGAAATATGTGGGACTGTATTTTAAATTAATTCAGTTATTGTAGGTTGATTTTCAAGATTCCTCATGTTGTAATTTTCTACTGAAAAATTTGAAATTCTGGGAAAATGAGCTTCTCACCTTTCTCTTTACATACAAAAAGTTTCAAAACTTTCCCTTCCCTAGTTTTCCAGGAAAACTTTGAAATGTGTGAGACTGTATTTTCAACTTATTCAGTTTTTGTAGGCTGATTTCCAAGATTTTCCATATTGCTGTTTTTCACTGGAAAAATTTGAAATTTTGGGAAAGTGAGCTTCTTACCTTCTTCTTTACATGCAAAAGGTTTCCCTTCAGTAAGAGGAAGGTGAAAAGCTCATTTTCCCAGAATTCCAAATTTTTTCAGTAGAAAATTACTACATGAGAAATCTTGAAGATCAACCTACAGTAACTGAATCAATTGAAAATACATATTTCAGTGAAGGGAAAATTTTGAAACTTTTCACATGTAAAGAGAAGCTTATTTTCCCAAAATTTCAAATTTTTCAAGTAGCAAATTACAACATGAAGAATCTTGGAAATCAACCTAAATACAATAACTGAATAAGTTGAAAATACAGTCTCACACATTTTAAAGTTTTTCTGGAAAACTAGAGAAGGGAAAATTTTGAAAGAAGGTAAAACGCTCATTTTCCCAAAATTTAAAATTTTTCCAGTGGAAAATAGCAACATGAAAAATCTTGGAAATCAACCTACAAAAACTGAATAAGTTGAAAATTCAGTCTCACACATTTCAAAGTTTTCCTAGAATACTAGGAAAGGGAAAAATTTGAAACTTTTTGCATGTAAAGAGGAATGTGAGAAGCTCATTTTCCCAAAATTTCAAATCTTTCAAGTAGAAAATTACAACATGAGGAATCTTGGAAATCAACCTACAATAACTGAATGCTCATTGTCAAAATACCAAGAGAAAATTTTGTTGTGAGGAAAGCTTTTTGGCAACAAATAAAATATGCTCCTTTCACTAAGCACCTAATATTTGCCTTATATTACCCAGAAAAGGCTGTTTTCATTAGCATAACTACACAATTCCGAGGTTTACGACGACGAAACTTTTTGCATGTAAAGAGGAATGTGAGAAGCTCATTTTCCCAAAATTTCAAATTTTTCAAGTAGAAAATTACAACAAGAGGAATCTTGGAAATCAACCTACAATAACTGAATTAATTGAAAATACAGTCTCACATATTTCTATATTTTCCTGGAAAACCAGTGAAGGGAAAATTTTGAAACTTTTCACATGTAAAGAAGAAGGTAGAAGCTCATTTTCCCAAAATTTCAAATTTTTCCAGTGAAAAATAACAACATGTAAAATCTTGGAAATCAACCTACAAAAACTGAATAAGTTGAAAATACAGTCTCACACATTTTAAAGTTTTCCTGGAAAACTAGAGAAGGAAAAATTTTGAAACTTTTTCATGTAAACAGGAAGGTGAGAAGCTCATTTTCCCAAAGTTTCAAATTTTTCCAGTGAAAAATAACAACATGTAAAATCTTGGAAATCAACCTACAAAAACTGAATAAGTTGAAAATACAGTCTCACACATTTTAAAGTTTTCCTGGAAAAATAGAGAAGGGAAAATTTTGAAACTTTTTCATGTAAACAGGAAGGTGAGAAGCTCATTTTCCCAAAGTTTCAAATTTTTCCAGTAGAAAACAGCAACATAAAAAATCTTGGAAATCAACCTACAAAAATTGAAAAAGTTGAAAATACAGTCTCACACATTTCAAAGTTTTCCTGGAAAACTAGAGAAGGGAAAATTTTGAAACCTTTTGCATGTAAAGAGGAAGGTGAGAAGCTCATTTTCCCAAAATTTCAAATTTTTCAAGTAGAAAAAACCTACAATAACTGAATTAATTGAAAATACAGTCTCACACATTTCAAAGATTTCCTGGAAAACTAGTGAAGGGAAAATTTTGAAACTTTTTGCATGTAAAGAGGAAGGTGAGAAGCTCATTTTCCCAGAATTTCAAATTTTTCTAGTAGAAAATTACAACATGAAGAATCTTGAAAATCAACCTAAAATAACTGAATTAATTGAAAATACAGTCTCACACGTTTCCAAGTTTTCCTGGAAAACTAGTGATGGGAAAATTTTGAAACTTTTTGGATGTGAAGAGGAAGGTGAGAAGCTCATTTTGTCAAAGTTTCAAATTTTTTCAGTGAAAAATAACAACATGAAAAATCTTGGAAATCAACCTACAAAAACTGAATAAATTGAAAATTCAGTCTCACACATTTCAAAGTTTTCCTGGAAAGGGAAAATTTTGAAACTTTTTGCATGTAAAGAGGAAGGTGAGAAGCTCATTTTCCCAGAATTCCAAATTTTTTCAGTAGAAAATTACATGAGGAATCTTGAAAATCAACCTACAATTATTGAATTAATTGAAAATATAGTCTCGCACATTTCAAAGATTGCCTGGAAAACTAGTGAAGGGGAAATTTTGAAACTTTTCACATGTAAAGAGGAAGGTGAGAAGCTTATTTTCCCAAAATTTCAGTCATTGTCCCAAAAGTTTCAAAATTTTTCCTTCACTAGTTTTCCAGGAAAACTTTGAAATATGTGAGACTGTATTTTCAATTAATTCAGTTATTGTAGGGTGATTTTCAAGATTCCTCATGTTGTAATTTTCTACTGGAAAAATTTAAAATTCTGGGAAAATGAGCTTCTCACCTTCCTCTTTACATGCAAAAAGTTTCAAAACTTTCCCCTCCCTAGTTTTCCAAGAAAACTTTGAAATGTGTGAGACTGTATTTTCAACTTATTCAGTTTTTGTAGGTTGATTTCCAAGATTTTTCATGTTGCTGTTTTCTCCTGGAAAAATTTGAAATTTTGGGAAAATGAGCTTCTCACCTTCCTCTTTACATGCAAGAAGTTTCAAAATTTTCCTTTGACTAGTTTTCCAGGAAATCTTTGAAATGTGGGAGACTGTATTTATCAAATAATTCAGTTATTGTAGATTGATTTTCAAGATTCCTCATGTTGTAATTTTCTACTGGAAAAATTTGAAATTCTGGGAAAATGAGCTCCTCACCTTCCTCCTTACATACCTACAAAAAGTTTCGAAATTTTCCTTTTTTTTTAGAGGAATTTGTGGGGTATTTGGAGAAGTTCGTGGTTTACCCCTTGTCGGCACATGATTATTTGCTGGCTTCCTTAGGAGCTAATAATTCCAAATATTTATCATCATTGTTTCTAGATTTGCTGGACGATTTGTTCAAAGGTAGAGGCATTCAAGAGCCGATAATAGTCAAATGATGTTCTAAAATCAACCCGTATTCCGATCCCTTTATACGGTATTCCGTATACTGTATCGTTGATTTTGAGTTTCAACATGCATTAGATCAATGTAAATTCATTTGGTTCAGCTTGGCCCCTATAGATTTCTCGACTCTTTCAAATTAAGTACTTATTACATGGAGACTCTTATTGTCAGACAACAGCAATTATTTTGTATAAAAGCCCCTATAAGATTCTTAACAAAAAAGAAAAAAACATGGCATGAGCCCTAGAGATTTTCTGCAGTCGCTATACGTCTTATTATTTGGATCAGTGCACAGCCCCGAAGTCCGAACAGTTATCTGCCTACCAGTCCACTGAAAAGTAATAAAATTAGACCCTGGGGCCGGCCTCGTATAATCCTTTATTGTCTTTTTATCTGGCGAATCGCTTTGATCAACAGATTACCATTAAAACGCCACGGCTTTTAGCCATGGGACGTTTCGTAACGGGTTTCGTGGCAACGAAAATGGTACAAAAAGCGCGGAATTTGCACAGGTAGTAGATAAGGTACGTGGATAATTAAAAAGTCGGTGCCTGCAGACCGAACGGCCGTTAGAAGGAGCGAAGGAACAGAAGAGAAAAATAATGATCGGAAATTGTATTTTTAATAATAGATCGGATAAAAGAATTACGAAGCAATTCAAATCTGAACGAATAACAAAATAATAAATTAGATTTTAAATACACAACAATAAAAAGTAATAATGCCTTATATATTTTCTGGTTTGGTGGGCTAAAAAAGAAAGGCTCGACACGCTAAAAACCAATTTCTTGCCAGGAACATCATAGTTTTTCGTTTGCGTGCCGTGTTACCTAACTTTTCGAGACGGTGCAAACCCACAATTTTCCGACCATCGATCATTGTTTCGAAATTATAACGATATTATATACAAGCAAAAGCCCGATGTGTTAACGATACGGCTTTTATATAGGATTACAAACGCAAAGCTGGACGATAAATTATTATAATCGGTGGCGCTATTTTTTACATTGTTACCTGTAGAAATGCTCGTACGCTACTGGAACCAGCTACGCTAAGGGCGTTGCACACCAGCCATCCTGCATCTTCTCTTTGAACTCCTTGGATTCTTAAAGTTCCATGGGCATTGACGTGCATGTGACCTGGAATGGAAAATAATATAATCAGACTTTGATTTTAGCTTATTATTGTGTCAACCGATTCGGTTACTTTGGTTAACTTTTGGTTATATTCGGACCAGAGCCATATATTAAGTTATGCTGTTACTTGTTGTCTTGGCATTCCATCTCACTGTCTACAGTTTGATTAAGTCCGATAAAAAAACTGTACAGTCAGTGGCGTATTTTAAAATTTGGCGCCCTGGGCCTATGAGGTTTGCCGCCGTATACTTTAACAGAAAATTAATTAATGAAAAAACATTTTAACAAGAAAAGAAACACTGGAAGTCAAATTTTACTGCAGTGCATAGAATCATACGTACTATTTCTGTATGAGAAAATGCTTCCTTCAAATTATTTTCCTTATTAAATAATACGTTGAGTTGCCTCAAAATCATTTTGTTGCTTTGTTGTTAAGATAGCATTCCTAAGTGCTGGGGACGCGGCTTGTGCCGCCCCTGGCAGCCCTACCGCCCCGGCCATGGCCTTATGGTAAATACGCCACTGTGTACAGTTTTCTAGAAACTTTATGTATAGGCATAATGCTCATTTTCACAAAAGTATGCAATAAATCCTTCTGACATTAAGCCCATAAATACTCTTCCAACAACTGAATTAAGTACCTATTGCAATCCTTTTAGGATTTAAATAATTCCAAAGAGTATCCTAGCAGGTACATAAGAAGTGCAGATAAATCTTTTCTCCCTTTAATTTAAATACTCACCATTCGAGTTATCACTGAACATCAATATCTGCGACCCTTCCTTGCTCCAAAATACTGAAGGTTTGGGATTGCCAGTTGCCGAACAATGAAATTCCACGACTCCGTTGAGTGATGCTTTTTGATCCTTGGGTCGTTCGACGAAAACAGGTGGAGCTGTAAAAGAGAACATAATTTAGTATAGAGGGTTTTTGTAACATATCTATATCCTTTTTTATTCAACTGAGTTTTGTATTTTTCCTTTTATGTGACAATAAGATTTTACGAGAGAAGCTTTTAATATTTTAGGGGAGGCTGTTCAACCTTCGGGAATTTCTATATGTGAATTTTTGTTTTGTTACAATGGCGTTCCTACTTGTTTCAGGTGTGGTTTTATGATTATCAGTATCCAACTATTACAAAAATAGGTAAAATAAGGCTCGTAAAGATCAAATTTGAGTTATCCTATAAAAAAAATACAACCCCGATCGACAATAGAATTTCAAACTGGCATCCCGTTTAGACAAACCTTTTGATCTTCATGCGACTGAACGAATACTGAAGAGGCTGTAAAAGAAAATGTTATAGGCAATAAAAATCTATCGTCTGTTATATATTGCTTTTCATATAAAATATATCGAGATTCGATTTAGGAAAATATCCTTTTTTCGGTCCAGGCATGTCTATGTCTTTTATATGGTGACAATGGGATTTGATCAAAATGAAAATATATCAATGTAGTCGCCTAGAACATAAGTGCCCCTTTCCAAATGAAAACAGAGGAAAAGATAATGCTCACATAAACTACAATATCAATTTTCAAAATGATTATTTCTTCACCTCAAAGTATAAAATTTCGATGTATACGACTTACATTTTATTAATATATAATCGCCGCACATTATCAAAATACTAAGGGAAAATTTGTTTGTGAGAAAAGTTTTTTGGCAACAAATAAAATATGCTCCTTTCACTAAGCACCTAATATTTGCTTTATATTACCCAGAAAAGGCTGTTTTCATTAGCATAACTACACAATTCCGAGGTTTACGACTGAAATTTTAATAATAAAAACCAGCCAGAAGGTATCCGGTTCATATCAAATTTCACTTACGTTCGCGGTAGAAGCGCCATGCTGTTTTTTTCCGCAATGAAATTGTAAAGCAAGGCTCATTTCCTTCGCTTTTATTTTAGGTTTATGCGGTCGATGTCTGGCAAAAAGAAAAGTCGTAACATTTAGGATGAACTTGACATTTTAAGGCGACAGTAAAAGTACGGCCTGTAAAAGGGTTGGATCTTTTTACTGGATAAGTTTCGTTGAATATTGAATAATTTATTAGGACACGGCGGCAAACAAGACACCTTTTACGGAGGATAAAAAACATGCCAAACACATCAAACTGAGTTTCTAAACTAACAAAAATATACTTTAAAAACATTCACTTTTACTTTAGATTTATGCGTTGCCGCAAAAGCACAAACCAAAACAACTATCGTATGTTTAAAGTGAACTTGACATTAAACTGCACTAAAAAGTTTGCAGACTTTCACTCTAATAAAATAAATCCCTACAAAATCACGTGCGCCAAGGCAAAGAAAACTCCTTCGAGCTCGTATCACGTAAAAAGCTTTTCCCAGTAAAGTTTGCCTATATTGTTTGTTTGTTTATTGGAAAATATTTGCCGAAGAATTTTTATACTCACAGTTGACTACCAATGAAGCTTTGGCAGATATCATTCCAACGATATTGTCAGCGTTGCAAATGTAAAGTCCTTCGTCACCAGTTTGCACGTTTTCAATTTGTAAAGCTTTGTCTTCTAGTACGGAAACTCTTCCTAGAGGCATTTTACCATCGTCTCGTCTCCAGATGACGTTTGGCGGAGGATCGCCGTCTGCTAAGCATTTGAATATCACTCTTTGACCAGCTAATGCTTCAATGTCTTGAGGTTCTTTGTTGAAAAATGGTTTAACTAAAATAGAAATTATAGTTAAAGATCAAAGATATTATGTTGCCCATATGTTTGTAACATATATGTTTTCGCAAACTTTTCGCATTTCTTTACCTTTCCGTTCAGCGAGTTACGTATACAGAGAAATATGATATTTTTGTTATAGATGCGGCAGTATTGAATTGAATTCTGAAAAATAGATTTGTGAAAAGTCGTATTTCTTTTAGACACATAAGCTCATTGTAAGATACGACTGTTATATTTTGCTTTGAAGTTATTTCGAGAATTTTATGGGTAAAAAGGAGTATAAAATATGACATCCATTTACTGAACAGGATGATATGGGTTTCATGTAGGAAGATTCTCGAAATATACACTAGGTGAAAATATATTTTTTTAAAATCAAGGCTTGATGCTTCAGTTACCAATTTCTAGTGATTTTTTTTTTCTCTTTCTCACGTCTGTCCGATTTATTGTCTCCATTTAGGACTGAAACCTAATAAGGCTTATTGTACTTAGACTGTATGCAATCAATATCTCAAAAACTTTAGTATTTTGTTGCCCTGTACAATGTTGTATAGGTCTTTTACTGAGTGGTGTTTCAAAATTATTTCCGGGACTACGTTTGGTTACCCGAAAATGTTGTTTCTTCTGCGATCCAGTGGGTCGCAGTGGTAGTTACCTTATGATTTAGATTTCTGAAAATTTTGAAAATTCATAACTTTTTTTCTATTAGAGATAGATAGCTGAAATTTTCAGCGATTCTTATGGATCTATAGTTTCAGAAATAAAATCGTGTTAAGCAATTTGAGGTGATTTATCAATTATTCAATTTTTCTGAGTGCCTTTTTTCATATGGTGTTTCCGACTGGTAGATTAATTGCGTACTGAGTGTATTTGCATCCTTCTAATCGATCTGTATAAGAAAAAGACAGAAATAGAAAAAATTGCACTAGTTCCGCACTAGATCTACCAATCAGAAACGCCAATAGATTTCTGCTTCAAATCTAAGAATGTAACGCACCATATGAAAAAACGGAACACGCCCCATCCTCCAAACCACGTGACATTCAAGATGGCGTGGCGTCCACACATGAACCAAAAAACACAAAAAAATATCTAGTTTCTGCCCGACTTGATAGATCATATCTAGTAAACAAATATTTTATTGAATAATCAAAATTAAAGCTGCAAGCAAAACTCGAAGCAAAATAATTGAAATATGCATGAAAACACATATTCAGAACTAACTTGCTGGCCGCCACGCCATATTGAATTTTCCGTTTTGACAGATGGATTCGATTGCCTTATACCAAACGGAATACGCCCTAACCTAAAAATAAAGAGGAAGAGAAAAAGTCAAACTACACACTTCAATTTTTGTTATTGTTGATAATCAGTTGTTTTTGCCTCGTTTTTTCAATTATTATTATTTCAACTTGTGAAATGTGAACATCCTATTTTGAGTAATAAAAGTATTTCTGTGTACAATCCTTTTTTCCACAGTAAAACTTACATATCCGTTATATTGGCGCCCAACGTGGGGCCGTGGAAGGATTATCAGAACTCTTTTTCTGAGTCTTTTTCAAGGCAGTGCTGCCTCCACAAAAAAAAAATTCTAAAAAACAATTGTAAGTGATTCGCCCCGATTTTGCTCCCGTGAGTGTCGTACAATTTCGGACTTCGTGCAATCGTTTAAATAGGTGTCCAAAACTGTAAGTAACTAGATGTTTAATTATTGTGGTGATTCAGAGGAACCAGATAGTTCATCGACATCATCCATATCTAGAAGTTACGAGCTTCGTTCTCGTAGAATTTGTAACCTAAATAGCAATATGAGCTCTGTCACGTTAACAGGGTCCTTATTCCTGAAACAGGGGAGCAGTGTTCCCAGGAGAACGAGTGTTCCGTCTTTTTCAATGATATGCAACTGATAATATAAGTAACAAAGACGGAACACTCGTTATCCCGGGAACGCTGCTCCCCTGTTTCAAGAATAAGGACACAGACGAACAGTTTCAACAGCTTATGTCTCGCTTAACTGTAGCCCCTCAGCAACAGGCTGCTTATCAAGCTCCAGCTCCTACTGGAAACTTAGCAAAATGTAATTCAAGGTTTGATGGTTCTTCAAATGCTGATGTTAACGCATTCATCGATGCAGTAGAAATTTATAAATACTGTAGTCGTCTAGTACAAGATGACAATGCTCTGCCTATGTTGTTTGATGGTTTTTGCTGCGACGTGGTTCCAGGGCGTCAAATCGTCCTTAACCACCTGGAAAGATATGCCATAGATTTGCTTCGGTCCACATTTGGCCCTATTAAGCCCACTTATCGGGTTTACAGAGAACTTTTTTCGCAAGAGCAGGACTCTAAAACTAAAATTGAAGCTTTTATTTGCAAGTCTCGAGCTATTTTAGCTCAATTACCTAGTGGAACTCCAACTGAGGACATTCAACTCGATATGGTGTGCGGTTTAATACACAGGCAGATACGTGAAAAAGTTCCAAGGGACAAAGTCCATTCGTTCCAAGAACTTTTAACACAAGCACGTCTAGCTGAAGAAACTTTTGAATCGCCTGATGTTAGTAAAATCACGGGTACTGAATTGAAGGGACAAAAGCGTTGCGTGTACTGCAAAAATGCCGGTCATGTCAAAGAAGAGTGCCGTAAACTTAAGAAAGCCCTTGAACTTGGTAATTCGCCACAAAATATCACAAGAAACACAGTTCATCAGACCCAGGCAAATGTAGAAGTTCAAAACGCTACAACAGCCCAAGGAAAAAGTTCCCCTGTGTCTTGCTATGGATGTGGTGCTCCTGGTTTTATAAGCAGTAACTGCCCTAACTGTTCAACTAAGAATGGTTCTTCCCAAGGTTCTTCTAAAAACCCTGTCATGGCTGCTGAATTTTTGTATAATTGCCTCGCTCACGGTCCATATTTTCGGCCCTTGGTGCCAATTTTCATTTTTGGGCATGACGGGTATGCTTACTTGGACACTGGTGCAAAATCAAGTGTGGCTGGTTCTATGTCAGCGAAATTATTGATTCAAGACAACGTACCCTATCATGTTATGAACGACCTGGACATGACATTAGCTGATGGTGTAGAAAAGAAGGCCACAGCTAATATTTTTCAAGTAAGCATAGATCTACAAGGTAAATCAATAGAAGTCCAGATTTTGTCCATTTCTGATTATGAAAACAGCCGTACCTACGCTGCTTGGGGTGGATTTTATCCAAGCAACCAACCTTATTATTGATGTACCTAACAGTATTGATTATTTTTCTGAGAATCCTCATAAACCATACACTTTCTGCTCCGAAGAAGACAAAGCTCTACAACTACAACTATATCGTATATTCCATAGACATCCTCCAAGAGACTGAAGGTCTTTCCTTGCCGCCAGAGGAAAAAGAGAAGCTGAATGCTATTGTCAACTAGCTGCTTGGGAAAGGAGGACCCGGTATTCAACCTTATTAATTTAATTGCCGATTCGATCGAATATTTATTGCAATTCAGCAATAAATTAATATAAATTGTGCTGCAAGCCGCAGCAAAGGTAGACTTAAACCAGTGCAAGTACCTCTCGTTGGAAAAGCCCCTCTGGAATTAAGTCTCCCCAGTGCAAGTACCTCTCGTTGGGAACGCCCCTCTGGGTATCTTCAGCCTTATCGTTGTCCAGTGCAATTACCTCTCGTTGGGAACGCCCCTCTGGACAAGGCATAAGGGTGACGATAAACCTATCTACAGTCCCCCAAGCAGAATTGACGTGTGGCCCCCTATAAGGACCCCAGTGTACGAAGGGTCATGTACCTTATAGGATTAGCATACATGTAAGGTTATATTTGGGAAAATATATAGCATATATTTTTATATAACCTGAGCGAGTTTCTCTCCATCTACCCCCAAAGCTACAAACCCCCCATGTCACCCCCGTAAAGCGGGTAGTTGTGACACTATATTGTGCCAGAACGCCAGCGTTTTCGAGCCCAATAGCGAACCTACTTCATTTGCAGAGCATACAATCGTTTTATTGAACGATAATCCTATATTTGTACTGCTTTATAGGATGTCGGAGATAAAGAAGCAGCAGCTGCGCACTGAATTGAACAAGTTGCTGCAGAGTGGTACCATAGAGGAGTGTGAGTCGCCCTATGCCGCCCCAGTGGCCCTTGTGCCCAAGAAGGATGCTGTGATCTGATTGGTAGTGGATTACCGACAACTCAGTTCAATCCCCAGAGCAGATCGGTACCCATTACCAAGAATAGATGACTTATTACACGAAACGAGAAATACTCAGTTTATGACGACATTAGATTTGAGAAGTGATACCATCAAATAAGTGTGAAACTCGAAGATAGAGACAGAACAGCTTTTGTTACACCATTTGGAACATTTGGATATACTAGAATGCCCAGTGCCGGTTTAAGGTACTTTTAAGCCCGGTGCTATAAAAAAAAACAAACTTTACAATCTGAAGTTATTGTATTTTTATATTAGAGGTGGGTTCGGCTTGCTCACTCCGTGCACTCCGAGTGACTCCATTCGCACTCCAGCCGTTCGGGTATTGCTTTTCACCGTTTTAGGGGTGACTCCATTAGCTCTGTTCACTCCACTCCAACTTCGCGCTGAATAGCCGAACCCAGCTAGGGCCTTATATGCCATGTTGGTGCAACCGTGAAAATTGAGAAACAAAGCTAAAAGGTTTGTTCGGACATAGTTCAGAATCAGTTCTGCGCTTGCCCATTTGTTTATATCCAACATACATAAACAAATGTGCAAGCGCAGATCAATTAAGAACTGATTCTGTACTAAGTCCGAACAAACCTATTGTTTGGGTTAGTTTGGATTGGTTTAGAACATATTCCAGGAAATAATGAATAAATAAATGAGGACTTTGTAAACACAACAGAAATAAATCCAAAATTTCAATTTGTACCGAGTGCGATTACCAAACTTTGACCCAAGCGCCCCCAGCGGCAATTTTAATAACTGAGTTATGGCATGAGGTGCTTTCCAGTGAGACACTTGAGTTACTCGGAGCAGCTCAGGGTGCAGATTCTTGACTAAAGGAGAAGTGCTTCTCGAGGGAACAAATATTTCGTCTTTATCATTCTTGTTTACTTTAAACTTTGACAAAGTGACTGCTTAATTTTTTATTTTAACTATACTACCTCTCTCCGCGCACCGCCCTTATCATATTTACAGATTCACCGCCCGGTGCTTTAGCACCCATGTAAAATCGACTCTGAGAATGCCTTTTGGTCTTACCACAGCCCCCTCCACTTGCCAGAGGCTCATGGATCGTTTTCGTCCTGGCCTACCTGACATTTTTATGTTGGTGTATCTTGACGACCTGATAGTCATTTCATCAAGTTTCACAAAACATCTTCAAGATCTACAAAATATTTTCAATAGATTGAGCTTGTTCAAACTCAAGTTAAACCGTCCTAAGTGTCATTTCTCCTGCGATTCGATCAAATACCTTGGACACGTGGTCACTCCATCCTTTTCGGTAACACCTACGCCACAACCCAAAAACGTCAAAGAGCTCTTAAGTTTCCTGCAAACCTGTTCCTGGTTCAGGAGATTTATCGACATTTTTGCAAGTATTTTCAAACCTCTCACATCACTGATAAAGAAGAATGTGAAATGGCATTGGGAAGAAACTCAATTAAACGCTTTTCACCAGCTAAAAATTGCACTGAGCTCTACACCAATCTTAAGACAGGCTGACTGTAAGTTACCCTATATACTACGTACTGATGCAAGCAGTTATGCCCTCAGAGCATGTCTACTCCAAAGGGAGGGTGAGGATGAACGCCCAATTGAGTATGCATCCTGGTTGCTCAATCAGGCAGAACAAAACTACAGCACGACTTGAACGAGAAGCTCTTGCGTCTAGGCTGTTCAGAAATTTATAGGATATATAGAAGGTTCCACTGTCATAGTACAAAGTGATCATCAACCTTTTAAGGTGGTTGATGTCCCTAAAAACCCCTACAGGACGACTAGCTCGATGGGCTTCAAGCCTACAAGCTTATGATCTCCGAGTCGATTATATCCTTGGCAAGAAAAATGTTATAGCAGACACTCTGCCAAGACCTCCCAGACAAAAATCAGACGAATCGATCGATATTGTCATTGTCGATCTACCAACAAAATTGGCAAGTGAAATCCGAGCGAAACAGATGACTAATCCTGACATAAGCAAGATAATAAATGGACTGGAACGTTCTGCAACTTGAGTTGATTTTAAAAAATGGGCAGAGAGAGGATATGTCCTATCCAATGGAATTTTATATGGATATTCACCGGAAATAGATGAAGAAGAGCCTCAACAAGTAGCAGCACGAAGTCAAATACCGCAAACACTACCTACACGAATACCATGACTCAGAGCGGTCTCTGGTCACTATGGAATTGAACGAACCTTCCAAAGATAGCTAGAAGATACTATTGGCCCGGAATGAAGAGAACCATTACCGAACATATTAGCAAATGCATTGAATGCCAAAGGCTTAAAGCTAACAATTTAAAACCTGCAGGACTCCTGCAAACTCCAGTACAATCCCGGAGATTTGAGACAATTGCAATAGATTTATTCGAACCCTTATCGGAAACTTCTAGTGGTTATCGATGGATTTTTATCGTGGAGGATACGTCCAGTCGCTGGACGGAGATGTGTCCTCTTCAAAATGCCATAGCTGAAGCATGCGCCCGCTGTCTCATCGATGAAGTCATTCATCGCTACGGAGTTCCAAGACGCGTGATCAGCGATAATGGTGTCCAATTTGTGGGAGCAATTATGCAACAAGTTGCGCACTGTTTAAACTTCCAGCAATGTCTAACACCTGTATATCATCCTGAATCAAACCTAGTAGAGAAGAAGAACAGAGACATGAAAACACAGTTGTCTATACTCATTTCTCACGATCATACGTTATGGATGGATGAATTGCGGGCGATACGATTTGCTTTTAACACTGCCAGATGCGAATCAATAGGATATACTCCAGCATATGACATTTAGTCGTGAATTAAGAGCCCCCGAAGATATGAACAGGGATATGCGAGCAATTATCGAAAATGACACATTTGTTCCACAAATTACCTCTTACCTGCTCACTTTAGGCAGCACACGAGAAGCTCGAGAAAATCATGAAAGGAGTCAAGACAGACGCGCACAGATTAAGGATCAAGAAAGAAGATCATTTACCTATAAGACGGGAGATAAAGTGCTAGTTAATACACATGTTTTGAGCTGCATCAAGAATCAGTTTACCTCCAAATTTGCTCCGAAACGTGATGGGCCATACTTAGTATAAAAACAAATAACTCCCACCACATACGTGATAATATCTATCGGAGATCCTGAAAAATCGCTTGGAAAGTATCATGTATCGGCTTTAAAACCTTTTGTGGAAAAAGAAAGTGAAGTTCCAAATCCAATATGTCCAATCCGGAAACGAGGACGACTTGCTGTGTCTAGGAGAGAAAATAAACTAGATGATGAAGATGTTGTAGAAACAGAAAATGTTACTATGTCCAAAAACGAAGATGAAAACATAGTAACATTTGACATGGAAACTACCAAAGAAACAGACACGCACGAGAACTCAGCAGCGGGCGAACAAGGTCGAAGAAACAGGGACAGGGTCCCAAAGAAGTGCTCCTGTTGTGCCTAACCTCAACTTTTCTTGTTGCCTAACACACGTGGACGTAAAGTCCGTCATTTTTAATCTGACACTTTCCGTATGAGGAGCGAGGGGGTGTCATATGGCAAACAGGTGTGACGTCAGGTAACCATTGGCGTTCTAATGCCACCAGCTCACATTCCTTTGGAGTATCAAATTAAAATCGACAGACATTACGTGTGGTGCAAAGGGGGAGATTGTAACGCACCATATGAAAAAACGGAACACGCCCCATATACCAAACCGAATATTCTCCAATTTCCACGGTAGAACTTATTGTCCGTCGATTTTAATCTGATACTCGGATGGAATGTGAGCTGGTGGCTCCCTCATCATAAAGATTTTGGACAACTTTGAAAGGTCATAATCACTGTGGATTCTTATATTACTAATTTCGAGTAATATTTTCAGTGGTCCGTCATTTGAAGATGTGCTATTCCAAAGTTATGGATGCCTTCAATATGCAAGGGCTAATTGAACAAAATCTTAAGAAATAAATACCTACTTACAGTTGGCTATACAATGATTAAGTAGTATAACAACTAAAAGCAACATTGCATTTGTAAAAGATAATCTTGTTTATCCTATAAATATACATTTCCTGATAAATGCAATGTTAACTTTAATCAACTGAATGTATATACACTTTAGCTTTGAAAACATATTTTATTTCCGAGCTTTTGCAAATTCCACGAAAGCCTCTCGCCGGCATATTTTTAGAAATCTCAGTTCCATCTGTCAACGGTTTATCTCTTATTTTATAAAAGCACTCCGCGTACATTTACATTCACACTTTTAATAAAACCAACTGCCTATTAGTATCTCACGGCTTTAACGGTCCCATTTTTGATGACATCCACGTGTTTTGTTCCCAACAAGAACCTCACTCACATGCACCGCATTACCGGTTGGATATATTTATGAAACTCCCTGGCCTATAGGCGCTGAAAATAGATTATTTTTATTACTAAAGTGTACTATTTAATTTTTGTTTTAAATTCCCACTGCTGATGGGTAGTGGTAAAAGCGAGCAACATGGCTGATGGCGCTATATGAAAAGATTTATCTTCGACTTTATGGAGAAAGGAAATGATATAAAAACTTTCTGTGACAAACACACTTAATGGAGTTATTAATATAAATATCGTTCTTTTTGGTCACGAAAATTTTATGGGAAATAGTAGGTACTTCTGAATGTGGAAATTGAATTCAACTTATATGGTGTACAGAATATTCTTTTTGTCGTTCTCCTGAGCTTGGAGAAAAAATTTTACTTGAGGTGCATTATTGTTCCACTAACACACCACGTAAGTCCTCCCAGTACCATTTTCATCAATCTCTTAAAAGTAGCGGGTGCATTACAGAGTCCAAAAGGTATTACCTTGAATTGGTAGATAAAGATAGTTTTTCTAGTGGAGAACGCTGTTTTCTTTGCCAATGGATAATTACCCAGAATTGACGATACCCTCACGATATTGGCAGACTCGAATTGGTTTTCTACTTTGGATACTGGCACAGAAAACAGCGTTCTTCACTGGAAGTGGTCTTTACCAATTTAAGTTAATGCCTTTTGGACGCTTTAACGCCCCTGCTACTTTTGACAGGTTGATGGAAATCGTACTACGAAAACTTACCTGGAAAGTATGCCTTGTCTACCTCGTTGAATCCCTTTTAAATCACTTTCAAAACATCCTCATAGAAATGAATTAATTAATAACAACCTAATTTTAATCATCAATCACCATACAAACTGACTCGTTACCAATCGGGTTCCAATCCAACAATTTTCAGTCGATTTTCTTTGAAAAATTTCCCGCCCAAAGCATTATCTATATTTATATTCCTTTGCTAAAACATTTCCAATATTCGGCGACAAACAAAAACTACCTCAATAAATCCTACAAGACACGCAAACCTCTTAGTAAGTTATATCGTAAGATATATACGAGTTGTTTGAGGACATTTTTCAAAACTTTACTGCATCGGTAATATGAATAACTCCTTATAGGCCAGGGTGAATTGGAAAGGAAAAGAAAAAGAATTGCGAAAACTTTGGATGCTGATACGTTTTTGGCTTATTATAGGATAGAAGTTTTATTATGTTATAGAGTTCGAGTCGTAAATTTCATGCCAATATTCTTTTGATAGTTTTGGTTATAAAACTCCCGAAGTAAGACATTGTGTTTTATCATCTGAAAAATTCTACTCACCGTAAACTCTCAAAGTTGCTTCTGGCGTCTCTCTAGATCCGACCAAGTTATGTGCGACGCATTGGTACTTTCCTTCGTCGTGTTGCCTCACGTCGGCTATCATCAAATTACCGCCATCCATTACTCGTATTCTTCTTCCGTCGATATCCATTTCGATACCATCTTTTTTCCATATGAGGGTTGGTTCGGGGTAACCTCTTGGTGCTCCACATTGCAATAGGGCTGTTTCTCCAGCAGCTACTTTTGTGTCGGTTGGGACTGCTTTGAATTCGTCACGCAAAACTGGAAAGAAATTGTGTCAATAGTGAATTTGCTTTATTTATGCGAGAATTTAAGAAGAAAAATTGTCTAAAAATTCTAATTAAGATATTAAGATAAACAGATCTGTTCAATTAATGAGAAAGCATTGGTCATACTCATCTCATCACTATGAAATCTTTATTTATTGACTTATCCACAATTCGAAAAAAAAATTACCAAAAGCAAACTGTATCCACAAAAACAATAAATTTTTATGTTTTTGTATATGATTGTTTCTTTTTAGATGAGCCTAATAAAATCTCCAATAAAAAATGATGGGTAACATCATCAATAAAATTTATGACAAAACTTATATAGGACAAATAAACTGAAGGCTATAATACATACATAAATATTGTATATCATGTGATAAAAAGAAAGAATATATCGGAGGGCGAAATATGGATAAAGTTTCATTATTGAAGATTGAAGCTCCATACCCAATTATCATTTGAAGTTATTTGAATAAATATTGCCAACCCAATGTCTTATTTTCATACTGTCAACTACTTAAGTAAATACCACTCTGTACATCAATTTTGCTAAAGTGTGTCGACGAGTCAGCATTTATTTGGTATAAATACCGCGCCGAAATCCATTACCGTCAGACTAAGGCTAGTGCGAACTATCTCTAATGGGAAAAGCCCCTCTAGCTAAGTCTCCTCCCAGTGCAAACTACCTTTAATGGGAAACGCCCTTCTGGGAGTATTGAACGCAGCAGACTAGGTCCAGTGCAAACTACCTTTAATGGGAAACGCCCTTCTGGACCTGTCTCAAAGCCAGCTTCAGTCTTCAGTCACGCCAAGTGTACAGAGGGTACATAATACAGAGTGGCCCATAAGTAGTACGTCCCTCCGTAGAAGAGACGTCATGATACCATTTCTAGGGTAATACTATTATTATTCAATACTCATCTTATTATACCTATACCAAGCGAGTTTCTCTCTACCTGAACCCCACCTACGCCCCCAAGTCACGCTCCTGTTGTGACGTCCCAGGACGAAACGTATACATAGGGGTTGTGACATATTGCCCGGCGCCTCCACCAAATATGTCACAACCCCTATACGTTTCGTCCTGGGACGTCATAATAGGAGCATGACTTGGGGGCGTAGGTGAGGTTCAGGTAGAGAGAAACTCGGTTGGTATAGGTATAATGAGATGTGTATTGAATAATAATAGTATTACCCTAGAAATGGTATCATGACGTCTCTTCTACGGAGGGACGTACTACTTATGGTCCCATTAAAGGTAGTTTGCACTGGGAGGAGACTTAGCTAGAGGGGCTTTTCCCATTAGAGGTAGTTCACACTAGCCTTAGTCTGCCGGTAATGGATTTCGGCGCGGTATATATACCAAATAAATGCTGACTCTTCGACACACTTTAGCAAAATTGATGTACAGAGTGGTATTTACTTAAGTAGTTGACAATACAATCATGAAAATCTCTTGAAGGCTGTAACCCAAATCGCGTTACGACACAAAAGTTTCCAAAAATCACAATCGCTCCAGGGAAAACGGATAACATCGATTCCCGAAAAATTTTGAGCAGGTTGAAATAAATTATTCGATTTTCATGCTGTCGGCGTGTCGCGAATAAAATATTAATTGGGAACACCACCGGGATCGGGACGACGACGGGACACGAACATGGAATTTTTTATTTGAAAATGTGTTTGTTCTTCTGTATTTTTTTAATCGTCTCGGATAATGAGAAAGTGATGGGATTTTGTTTAAATGAAGAAGAATAAAATGTCTATATGATGCCTTTTTAGTTCAAATTTCAGCTAGAGGATAAGGAGATTAGATTTTCACAAATTTACAATTAAATTTCAGCTCTGCGAACCTCTTTAGCCCAGCTTTAACATCTTAAATGTTCTAAAATCCAGGTTTTACGTATCTATAGTTAAATTTTTGGCATCATAGGAGCGCCGGGAATAGAAATTTAATGCTTTTCTAGTTCAAATTTGCAATTCACTCGACAGTTAGATCGTGTCAATACTGTGCCTCCGAAGTCGGTTTGACGTCACAGCATAGGCGTTCGTCACTCTAAACCGTCCTGGTCTAGAAACATCCCTCACTTTTCCGAATGTTGTTCATCCTACGGTTATTCTTCTCGTCAATTCGCATGTTTGTTTATCTCTGTGAATTCTCATCTCATGACTCAGGTATACGTATACTTACCCACTATCATTTTGGTTTTTGAGAAGTTTATCTTTAAGCTCACTTCTTGCGTGGAATTTTGAAGTTCCTGGAGAATTTATTTAGCTTCGCCCAGATTCTCTGATATCAGGACAATATCATCTGCAAAGCGAAGATTATAATAGTACGTTAACGCTTTGTTTGTCCTCCCATCGGAAGTAATTCAAAGTGGATCTTAAGCCACCTGAATGAACTGATTCCAAGTTCACCTTAACGTTAAGGTTACCTTAGGTAAGTCTTGATTTTAATAAATATACGGGAAAACCCTGTACAAGGCTTCCTAAACTATTCCCCCTTCGAGCAACTTGGACTTTGCGCACGAGTGGGGGTTAAAGACAAAGGACCGTAGATAAGGGAGACGCGGCTAGTCGAAATTGTATACTAGATTGTATAGAACCCATAGCTCTCTTTTTCCTGCTCTCTACATTATATCTCTCTACTCTGTCTTCCAACGAAGGCCTATTTTTTAGATATAGCTCTCTCTCTCTCCTCTCTACATTATATATTTTTTCTCTCTCGTGTAACAAAATGTGCCTAAACGTGACCTGTCTTTTAAATCACTTTCCATTCTCGTCCAAATATCGGAACGCCGCCTAAGAAGTTTCACTCCAAAACTATCCCCCCTTATACAACTTTTAGACCTAGCGTATGAGTCGGGGTAAAGATGAAGGCCCACGCAAAAGGGAGACGCGCATCTGCAGTAACGTCACAAGGGTATCTGCGCTTGACAATAATAGGCATTCTTCTTTTCTTATCAACCTTGGTTTGTGTGAATCGTTCGTCGGCTATCATTGTCATTGGCTGTCTTCCTCCGTCTCTCTACGGTATATCTTTCTTCTCTCTCGTGTAAAGTTTGCCAAAACGTGATGTTACGTAACACGTCTGTCAAATCACTCTCCGATCATTCTCCATTCTCGTCCAAATATCAGACCGCCGCCTAAGATGTTTCAGGTCGAAAATGTTATACAGGCATACAGTGAGAACATAGAGTCTGTCGCCCTCTCTCTAACTTTTGAACCGCTCGGTATATTGCAAAGAAACTTGGAATGATGATAATATGTGAGCAAATTCTCCATTTTTCGGAAAACAAATGATGACGAAAAAACAAAGGTTTGTTTTGGTCATAAAAGTTTTTTTTTAGTAATTGAAATATTATTTTATAAGTACTTTTGTTTTTCTTTTTTTGAAGTTACGAATGTCATTACGTTATTATTTATTACTGAAAAAAAAAAAATGAATATAAAACACACATCCAGGTAGACAAGGCATACTTTACATGTAAATCCTCGTAGTACGATTTCCATCAACCTCTCAAAAGATGCGGGGGCGTTACAGAGTCCAAAAGGTATTACCTTGAATTGGTAAAGACAACTTCTAGTGGAGAACGCTGTTTTCTGCGCCAGTGGATAATTAGCCAGAATTGACGATACCCTTACGATATTGGCAGACTCAAATTGGTTTTCTACTTTGGATACTGGCACAGAAAACAGCGTTCTCTACTGGAAGTGGTCTTTACCAATTCAAGATAATGCCTTTTGGACTCTCCAACGCCCCTGCTACTTTTGAAAGGTTGATGGAAATCGTACTACGAAAGCTTACGTGGAAAGTATTCCTTGTCTACCTAGATGAATCCCTTCACCAAAAAAAAAAAATTGAAAATCACTTTTAGGACATCCCCATAGAAATGAATTATTTAATAACAGCCTAATTTCAATCATTAATTACCATGCAAACTGTAATGACAATCCCAGTCATACAGTGAGGACATAAGTCCGTCGTTCCCCCTCCAACGTTTGAAATTTTTCGAAAAACAAAGATGACAGCTAGGTACAGTTTTGAAATGTTTTTTTGAATAGAAGGCTTGGTTGAGTGATGTATCGTTTTAGAGGTCTCTTTATTGTTAATTTAATCCCCGATTCTGCAAACATTTGGTTTAGCGGTTTTCAAATGATGACGTGAAAACAAAGGTTGGTTTTGGTCATACATTTTTTTTTTGGGTTCCTATTGTCTATTCACAATCTGTAGTCCAAAGGTACAGTTAAAATGTATCACCTTTCAATGCTATTTGACAGCAAAAAGTGATAAATTTACCTGTACCTTTTACAGATTGTGAATGAATAGGATATATTAATCGATTGAATATACACGCCACTGGAATAATTTTCCCTGGGTCCTTATTCTTGAAACCGGGGAACAGCGAACGAAGGTTCCATCTTTGTCAGTGTTATGGAAACATGAATATGAGCGACGAAGACAGACCGCTGCTCCCCTGTTTCGAGAAGGACCACGTCTCACAACCCACGCCGCTCTATAGGGACCGGTGGACCGGGCACAAATTGAAATCCGGGACCCCTAGTGGCAGTTTTCATAAGAATTTGTATAATAAACAATTGGACTTCTGACAGAATTCCAATATATTCTAATCTATTGACTCATATTTCAAAAAATGGAGTTAGAAATAAATTTTTGTTTCCACGAAGCTGAAGACTTAATAATTAGGGCTCAAATAGGGAATCAGTCTTGCCGTTTAATTTAAGTTTGCGCAAGCAAGTTGATGGATATGACAGAACGTCTATCCCGGCCTTAAGACCATATCGGGCTTCTGTCAAAAGCCCAATTGTTTGTTATACAAATTCTTTTGGAAACTGCCGCTAGGGGAATTTGTGACCGGCGCCAAGCTTCCTAAAGTTGATAGGTTGCCTGGTAGTGGGTACCTTGATGACGCATCTGGGGTGCCTTATGAAGATTTGCATTATGTTGATGCACCCCAAATGACGTCA